TCGGAGACAAATTACCCTAAGTCTCTGAATTCACAAGTTCAAACTCTGTATATAAGGCCTTCAACTCATCTCAGCTGAGAGTCATCCGCTCCGGGCAAGCCGAAACGTCGCGCCAGCGTGAAGGCGATGTCCTGCCGAAGGCTGCATAAGGCAGAGCTTTGGGTGTAGAGCGTAAGGTGTAGGGTTTATAGGGTTCGCAGGGTTCATAGGTCTTGTAGGGTTTATAAGCTTGGCAGGGTGTAGGGCTTAGGGTCTTTGGAGCTTGTCCTGAACCCTATGAGGGCTGATAAAGTCTAAGAGGCTTCTGGCGTCACGTGACGCAGCTACTTTGAAACCCCCACAGAGCGCAAAGGAGGCAGACAGAAGAGACCTTTGTGACACGCACAGATGGCATCTTGCATGAGGCTGGGTTCAATCCCGAGCATGGCCACGCGTGGAGGCTTGAACCTCGAACTCACTTCAAGCTGGGTTTAGGGTTTAGGGGCGCCGGGTTTTAGGGTTTTAGAGTTTAGGGCTTTCTCTGGTCCTGGCGATTGGGAATCTGAACCAGCTGGTTCATGATGTAGTTCACGATGGCAGTCTCGTTGACCTACAGGACTCGGGGGCACGAACGGAATCGCCAGGCTGCAAGGAAGCGAAGACTGAAGAATTCAATTTGGGGCTCTGCTTTGTGGGGACCCCTTGATACTCCGACCCCCTAAACACTAAACCCAAGACTCTAAACCCTGAACCCTCAACGACTGGGTGGTTTCGATTCATGCGCAGAGGATCACCGGCCCGCCAAACCCTGCACTTTGCAACTGTTTCGGTTTTAGGGTTTAGGGCTTACAGTAGGGTTTAGGGTTTAGGGAATCCCCTCAAAGATGGAGCACAAGCATTCAAGGATGAGAGTTAGGCTGGGTAGTTAGTTTGGGATTACGGTCTCAAGGTTTGTGATCGCTTACTCTTCCGTGCTGGGTTTCTCGCGAATGAACATCCTGAGCCCTGAACTCTAGATGCCGAATCCTAAAACCGAAAAGTTTTCAACGCTGATCCAACCTCAAGACCTAACACCCTCTCCTGCTGCAGCAGAAGCTCATGTTCATGTATTCAAGGCATTATGCCTTCACTCGTATCGACGGCCCCGATGCAGCTCAAGAAAACTGTTCCAGCGCTCTTGGACCCCCCGAAACCCTGAGCCCTAGACCACACCCACCAAGTACTACAGACGCCACGCGAGGGTTTAGGGGGCTTCGGGGGTGGAGAGTGGGCTAGCGGCTCGGGCCTCAAACCTTAAGCGATGACCGCTGCTCCGTAAATTCCCTCTCAAACCCACCGGGCCTTGGCCGACATGACTGCCCCCCGCTTGTTCACAAAGATGATGCCGCCAGAGTTGGCTGAGCCAACCGTGATGAAGACCGTCTCCTTCCAGTAAAAGGGGGCTTACAGCTCAGGGTTTCCGGTTTAGTATTTAAGGTTTTAAGAAGCCCTAAACACTAAGCACTGCTTTGGCGTGCCTGGGACACCCTGGAGCGCACCAGCATGGTTCCGGTGCCGATGTCAAACATGAACAGATAGCCGGCCTGGCTTGGGGCTGCTAAGGGTTTAGGCTTAGGCTTGTTTTTTGGCTTTTTTGGGGAGGCTGTTAGGGGATGGTTAGGGGGGTGTTGGGGGGAGGTGGGGGGGGCGGGGGTGTTGGGGGGGTGTTGGGGTTTAACACCTCTTGTGGGGTTTTGCGGAGGTGGAGTCCAGGGTGCACGAGGTCACTATGTCCTAGGACCTCGGCCCCGGGACGATGATCTGTGGAAGGGTTGCGGCCGCCAAGACCAAACCCTAAACACTGGAAGCGAACAGGCTGGGGGGCTTCCCGCAACTCCTTATTCCCGTAGACATCCTGCCATGCAAGCACACCTGGTGAAAATAACAGCACCATCCAGAGCCTTCACTAAAAACATACCGATTGACTGCATACATATATACAAAAATATATGATCCCGGTTCTCGGTTCGCCACCCCCCCCCCCCCCCATGGTATGGTCCCCCCCACCCACCCACCTCCCCAACCCCCCTAAAACCTAAACCCTAAACCCTAGAACCCCTAAAACCCTAAACCCTAAAACCTAAAACCCTAAACCCTCAAACCAACCCACCACGGGGGGGGGGGGCGGGAACCCTAACCCTAAACCCTAAAAACCCTAAACCCTAAAACAACCCTAAACCTTACACCCTAAACCCTAACCCCTAAAACCAACCCACAACCACACCACGGGGGGGGGGGGGGGGACCATTGGGGGGGGGGGGGGGGGGCAGGCCGCACCCGCATCATATATATATATATATATATATATATCCTTTTTCTGTACACATGTTTACAGTGTGTACTAAAATCTTGCTAGTAAGTATTAGTAATGCACTTCTAATCATGATAACAAGATTTGTTCAACATGAAGAACAATACATCATAATGAGAGAGGTACTACTGAATTTCCATGATATCAATCATAGTGAACATGATCCTAATCTTTGGAACGGGCGACGCCCTCAACCCGACACCAAACTCCCCGCCGAGATCCCAGCCGAAGGAGAATGCTTAGAATCTTCCGGAGGCCCTAAACCTTCAGCCCAACCCTGAATACGCCTTCGTGATCATGAAGACCACACCGTGCTTCTCGCTGAGGTGAAGACCCACTGCGAAGTCCGTGGGCGCCTCTGAATGTAGAAGGGAAACGAAGGGACTCTGGGCCTCAATCCCCAAATCCTGAAGCCCTACAAACCCAAGCTTGCACCAACCGAGTCATTCAAAGGTTGTGGGAGCCATTCTTCAGTCCCGCTCGAAGCCTGAAACCCCAAGTCCCCCCACCCCCTAACCGCACCCTAAACCCTAAAGCCTAAACCCTAAACCTCAAACCCTAAACCCTAAACCCTAAACCCTAAACCCTAAACCCTAAACCCTAAACCCTAAACCCTAAACCCTAAACCCTAAACCCGAACCCTAAACCCGAACTACCCCAAACCCAAGATCACCCAACCTCAGGGTATCGGGCTCTAGGGCAGGCTTCGGGCATCATCGTCGCCTCGGGCGGCATGGCAATCTCCATCTGCACCTGGCCAGGAAGAAGGGCCACGCCATGGAATGCGATCTCGGGTAGGGTTTAGGGTTCAGGGTTCGGGGTTTAGGGTTTAGGGTCTAGGGTTTGGGGTTTAGGTTTAAGGTTTAGAGCACAATACACATACATATGCCAACACTTCCTTGATTCTGAGGTCCGTGCAGCAGCGAGAACTTCCCTACTTCTGAGGGCCGCGCACGACTGAACTACTTTATCAGAAAGCATTTGCCCTCAAAGCTTCATGGCGGCGCAAGGCACATACACTGGACTGTACCGAGTGGGGTTTTGGCCCAGGGTTAAGTGCTTGCTTGAAGCTTCGCGGGTAGGTATAAGCAGGTTACGAATACCTCCCAAATTTTGGAAACCTATGACCAGATAGAACTACACTGAACCTCCAAGCACCCTAAACCGGGGCTTTACACGCCTAAACAAACCCTAAACCCTAAACAACTCACAGAGCGGCCGGGGTGTAGGGTTGAGGTGCAGGGGGACCAACAGCGGTGGCTTGTGCGTCTGCGCCTCACTAAGTCCTGTTTAGGGTTTAGGGTTTAGGGTTTAGGGTCAGAACCTAAACCCATAGATGAAGGAATAATCTGGATAATGCTCCTTTCTGGCAGTCGAAACCAAAAAAAATGATATCCCACATATATATATATATATATATATATACATATGTGCATACATGTGCATCTTGTACCATTATGGACCCCCCCCCCCCAACCAAAAAAAAAAAACCCCCCCGCGTCTCTCCCTTCATCCAACCCCCCCCCCCCCCGCCTTGAAGGGGGGCGCGCTGTCCCCGCGGTTCTTCAGGATGTCCATGATGTGCAGCTTCGTCTGGGGGTTGCCAGCCTGAAGGGGCCCGGGACCGCTCTGCGACTTCTGGATTGAGGTTTCAGGTTTCGGGGCCTGAACGCTAAAACCGAAACCCTAAACCCTGAACCCTGAACCCTAAAGCCTCAAGCTGCTGTGGAACCCAATGGCGTCGAGGGACAGAAGGAGGTTACATGCCCGACCGAGGGGGAGGAGTGCTAAGGGCTTGCAGGGTGCCAGCGCTTTGGCGGTTTGGGGGGGAGGGGGGGAGGGGCGGGTTCAGGTGCTGAAAGGATTCAGGGTTTAGGGTTTAGGGGTGAGGGTTGCAGGCAATGCCGGCACCCATGGCCCAACGCCCATAGTTCTTCGGGGTTCTGAAGGTGCGGGGTTTAGGGTTTCCGGAGCAAGACATTCGGGATGGGCCCAATTGTTGGCGTACTAGAGTGGGTTTTGTTCGGGAGGGGACCGAAAAAAGAACTACACTTCTACCGGTCACACAGGACGAAACTACATTTTTCCAACTCAACCCCAGTAGATCCCATGTGTTTGCTGTTCAGGTCAACAAGGTCTACTCAAAACCCTAAATCCTACAACCTGCAACCCTAAAACTCCCTAAATAGTAGAACCATAAAGCCCTACACCCTAGTACCCTACACCCCAAAACCCTAAACCCTAAACCCTAAACCCCAAACCCGCAGATCCCACGCAACCCGAAGTCTTTCAGGGGGGTTGCGCCTTCCGCTCCTGGAATGCGAAGACGCCGCAGCGCACGCCGCCGTCGTCCACGTAGACGTTGCCGAAGCAGCCTGCACCCCACGCGCTGGTTCTTAGTAGGGAATGAAATTCGGGCCCTCCATATATATATATATATATATATCTATCTATCTATCTATCTATCCATCTATCTATCTATATATACATATATACCCTTTAAGCAATTTATAGGGTACCTCATTCCATCATTCCCAGCCCACGGGGGTCCCAGGGTTTTTGTAGGGTTGGGGGGTTTGCTTGGCCTTGTTGAGCTTTTGGTGTTTAGGGTTTTGGGGTTCCTGGGCTTAGGCTTTTTGGGGCTTTCGGTTTTTTGGGCTTTTTGCGGGTTTCTGGGTTTGTTTTTCGGTTGAGGGGTTTTGGGGACTAGGATTTGGGGTTTAGGGTTAGTGCGAAGGGGGCAAGACCAAGCGAGGTTCAAAGGCTCTGAAGTCGAGGGGCCGTAGTGCTTGCTATTCCTGTAGGGCTTGTCAGGTCATCTTCGTGATGCCCTTCAGCCCTGAGCCTTAGAATTTTTAGAGGGGCCTGCATGCCCCTCCAGCAACTGCTGCTGCTTCCTCTCCACGCCTCAGCGAACATGGGGGATTGAGGGCTTGGGGATTGAGCCCAGACCCCTAGGTCTCATCAGGACTACGGGAGGGATCGAGAACTCAAGAGAGGAATGGAATCTCTAAAATCCCTGTACCCTTCCATGAAATCCCGAACTTGAAGCCCGGAACCCTGACCCCCAAACCCTGAACCTCCCAAAAGACTCTACACCCAATCGCCAAGACGCGAACTTCCCAAAACCATCCCACACCCCGAGAACCACAGAGCAATCTCCCCAGAAAAGCCGCACCCGGAGTAGAGGTGCTCCTTCTGTGCCCCAAAATAACATCGTCAGATCATCGCCCTATTCCTTCATTTTCCGAAACTCCGCATTTGGAGCCCCCGGCTGTAGAGCTGCATGTTACCATCGATCGTCCTGCCAGAGTCCTGTGAAACAGAGGCACAGGGTCTGAGGCTCGCGTCGAACCGGAGATGGCCCTGCCGACTCTTAGGTACAAGGCAGGCAGCTCGTTACAGGCTCTAAGCTCGAAACCCTAAACCCTAAACCATCAGAAGCCGGCCTGTGAGGAGATCCCGGTCAGCAAACACCACGACACCTGCGCCAATTGATTCCAGGACGCCAGGTGGGTCGAAGACCCTTGATTATAGGGTCCACAAGGAAGGTTTAGGGTTTAGGGTTTGGGGTTTGGGGTTTGGGGTTTGGGGTTTAGGGTTTAGGGTTGGTTCATGGGGGGGGTAGGTACCCAGGGAACTCTAGGGAAGCTTAGGGAGCCTTTGGGAGTAGTGCAGAGTTCGGGAACCTCGGGTAACGTGCCCCCCTTGAAACCCCCCTCCCTTAGGGAATAACTAAATTACAAAAACCGAACCAACCTCCAACCCTCCCAAAATGTAAACCGAAAATGTCAAAGCAGGCTCGAACCTTTCCCTGCCTGGCTGTTTGCCGAGTAGTTGATGATCTGCGTTCCTGGACCCAGAGACTCCCATGGAAAGCTCTAAGCAGACCGGATTGAAAAAAAAAAAACAAATCAAGAAGAGTCTGGGTTTAGGCTTTAGGGTTGGGGGTCGAGGGGTCGAGGGTGCTCTGCCCGAAACCTTAAACCCGAAACCCGAAACCTGGGCTTCTTCTGACGCGTATCGCAAACAGCCCCGAGTCCAAGGGTTTGAGGTTTGTCGGCAGCTTTGGCTGGGGCTGGGAGAACCGGTTGTAAACATGGACGCCTATATAATGTTGAAGATTCACCCTACATTCCTAAACCCAAAACCCTAGACCTTACAACCCTGCTGGGCCGTTTAGGACTTTTTTGCCCCGGAAACAGGCCTTCCGAGAAATTTGGGGGTTCCGATTCTGAATTCAGGTGTAGTCACTTGAAGGGTTTTTGGATCTCAGGGATTCAGGGGCTGTTTTAGGAAAGGCTTTCGCATTGGGCCCCCGGCCCCCCCCCCCCCCCCCCCCCCCGCCTGCTTCAGCCAGCTTCCCTGCCCGCTGGAAGATCTTCTCCGGCTGGCTATTTGCCACGGAGAGGTTCCAGTGATAGACATCCTGCCCAGAGCTTTCCAAAGACCCTAAACCCAAACTCACGAACCCCGAAGCCTAAACCGTAACCCCTAAACCCTAAACCCTAAACCCGAAACCCTAAACCCCAAGCCCGCCCCCAACACCCCCAGATCCGGTGCAGCCTTGAATTCGAGCACCTTATAAGGCCATAGGGCCGTTTGTTTTTGAGGGTTTAGGGTTTAGGGTTTAGGGTTATAGGGTTTCGGGTTTCATGGTTCATGGGATGGCTTCTAAGAAAGAGATGAGGGGCGTTGACCCTAAATCCTACACCCTGAACAAACTAATGACACCTTGGACAGCTACACTTATTGGGAGATTCTGTTACATTTCATTCGTCGCATGACATTTTAACAAAATGAAATCACCAAAAAAACGGCCCTCACCCCCTCCCCCCCCCCCAACCGAATCCCTAAACCCCAGCACTTTGGGGTTTTAACCGTGGGGTCCAGGGTGTCGGCCCCCGCCTGCGCACAGATGAGCGCCAGGAGGCGAGGCGCCAGCCAGCGCCAGAAGACAATCTGCTCGGGGCACTGGTAGACGCCGAGCCTGCAAAACAAATACATCCTGGGGGCGGGGAGGGTTTTAGGGTTTAGGGTTTGAGGTTTAGGGTGAGGGTTTAGGGTTTAGGGTTGTTAGGTTGTTGGGGGTGTCGGGGTTTTGGGGGTTGTCGGGGTTGTCGGGGTTGTTGGGCTTGTTGGGGTTGGTAGGGATTAGACCTAGGGAGCCTCAATGCCCTGTATTGAAAGAATAGGCCTCAACGACAAAGCAGGTCAAGCGGATTAGGCTTTAGGGCTCTAGGGTTTGAGGCTTGGGTTTGGGATGTTTCCCCTCATACCAACAGTCCTCAATATGCATTATAGTACCCCGTTTTTCAAAGATCCTTATTAAGCCATTCAGCACTGTTCGTATCAGGGGGACATCCCAAGCTTGGGTGGTTGTAGGGAATCTCTGGGGCCGGCACTCAGCACTCAGACTCCTGCAGTCTCCGGCTTGCCAAAGTTAGTCTCCCCCCCCTCAAAAAACCCACATATAGCAGATTCCTCTCCCCTGAGGCATATCGTCAGCTCTCTAAACCCTAAACCCTAAACACGACACCACAAAACCCATCATAGATACCTTTGGACTCAACCGAATAGCATGCACCCTAAGACCCTGTCATGGGTCTGCTTGGATCCTAGGTACCCCTTAACCCTGAAATACTACTTGGAGGTTGATGAGTAGGTACAAGCATGGTTAGAAGTACCCCAAACAAGGCTATAACCACTTGTGACCCTAGTTGCCCACTCATGGGTATTTCCCAAAATAGGGGTACCCCTTTTTTGCCCCAAATAGAGTAGAATCCCCTTAAAGGGACCCCCCAAAACGGTACCCCTATTTTCGGAATCTATCCCTCCCCATGAGCCTCCAAGTAGTGCTTGGGAGGGGCCCAGGGCAACCAACAAACCCCAAATCCTGGCGCCTAGCAGCCAAAGACCTCCCTAAACCCGAAACCCGAAACCCTAAACCCTCAACCCTAAACCCTAAGGCCCCCGGGCTCCCCCAAACAAGCTGAGAGCCCGGCTTCTCTTTGGAGTCCAGGTTGAAGATCTGCACAAAATGGCCGGCTTGGCCTTCGGTCGCAGCCTTGAAGCAGGCTTGGCGGCGCTTTGGGGTTTGGAGGGTTTAGGGTTTAGGGTTTGGGGTTTAGGGTTTAGGGTCACTTGGCTACATACCTCACGAACGAGCCCGTTCAACCCAACAGAGTCTGATGATCTAAGGTTGTGATAGAGACCGCGGAGCAGCGCGCAGGTGCACCACAGCCGGTCACGGTTGGGCTTTCAAGGGTTCCGACGGGAGTCATGCTGACGCGTGCAGGCCCGCTCGAAACCCTGAACCCGAAACCCTAAACAGGGTTTAGGGCTTAGAGTTTAGGGTCCAGACCCCAGACCCTAATCAAATGATCTTGATATCCCCCAGCCACAACAAGACAGGGAGGTTAGAAATTAGGACTGTGAGACTTCCCTACAAGCCTCAATTGCATGTATGTTGTGTCGCGACGTAGCGGGATTGGGAGAAAAGAAGAAAAGCACGTCCCAAACACGCAGACCTTAAGACTCCGACCTCCCCCCACCCCAAAGCCCTAAGCCCTCAACCCTAAACCCTCAAACCCTCCCTCCCCACTCGACCTTCAAGGCGATGATGTTGTCGGCTGGGTTCATCAATGTGGCCTCTCAACCCTAAACCCTGCCACCCTAAACCCTAAACCCTAAACCCTAAACCCTGAACCCTGAACCCTAAACCCTAAACCCTAAACCCTAAACCCTGAACCCTGAGCCCTGAACCCTGTAACCCTAAACCCTAAACCCTGTAACCCTAAGCCGCTAGGCCCGAAAGCCCTGCACTCCCTGAGCCCCGAAAAGCCTAGAACCAGGCTTCGGGCTGAAGGATGTCGGGGGCTTAGAAGATTCCCCTGGTTCTTAGTAGGGAATGAGGGAATGAGGGCCCTATGTAATCCCTTAAAGAGTATGAAAAGGGGCCCTCATCCCCTCATTCCCTACTAAGAACCAGCCAGAAGATTCGGGGTCAGGGGATGCCCGGGTTGAGTGAAGCTGTTCAAAGGGGGGGTGTTCGGGCCTCCGAATGTATCGGGGGGGGGGGGGGGGTTGGGAATCTGCAGGTTCTGCCTGTTGATGATGCTGCTGCACGGGTGTTACATGGGTGGGAGTTGGGGGTCTTGGAAACTGCAACTTGTGGTCGAGGAGGGTTGGGATTTCAGGCTTCTCATGAAAGTTTGCAATGGGATTCGGGCTTCGGGTTCAGGTTAACCAGTACCACAGTAGAGCAGCACTCAACTTAACATTGAAACTGACAGCCCCCTCGAGGTTCCCAAAAAGCCTGAACCTCCCAGAAAAACAAGCACTCACTCACACTTTCTCACACACACACACACACAGAGACACAAGACACACAAGACACACAGACACACCAGGTCAGAAGCACGCCTCAGCCTTCATCGGGCGCTTGTTAATTGCATTGTTGTTGTGCATGTCCACGACCACAACCTGCGCAAAACTGCAGTGCCCCAGGATGCAGAGCTCTCCCCGTGCACGGAACATCAAAACTGCTCAAGGCAGCAGTTTTACGCAATGAGCAAATTAGGCTTCAGGGTTTAGGGCTTAGGGTTGAGTGTTGAGGGTTTAGGGTTTAGGGTTTAGGGTTTAGGGTTTAGGGCTTAGGGGAGCGTAAGCAAAATTTTTGAGTCTTCTTGTGTTTGGAGCTGCAGATGGGAAGTAGCCAGCTAGCAGGGTGTAGACCAAGCCCTGCAACACCATCATCAAAGAAGATGATACATACAGGGCCCCAGGTCTGGAACTGCGCGTCACCCGCCGAGGCATCGGGTCCAGGGAGGGAAGAGTAAGCCCAAGGGCTCTCTAGCCATCTGCTGTAAGGGGAGTGTGCTTTCACTCTCTGTTGCAGAAAAGCAAGCAAATGCAAGGATGGAGGAAGCTGAGCCACGGAACAACCGATCACAGCGACATTCTGGCCTGCGCCGTGCCATCTGCTGCCGTGTCCTTGATGCTGATATATTTGTCCGACCTCGAGCTAACTCTATTCCAGGGATTCAGACTCGTACCCCTAAGTTTGTACCCCTTAAGGCTTCCCTTACTTCTATGGATCCTGGTACATCTGGGGCTCCACCCGCAAAAAAGACTTTGGCCTCCACATCGCAGGTGTGCGCTTTTGCATCTGCTCGTCGGCATCTGCCAACTTTGCCCCCACTTTCGCAGCATGGAGATTTACAGCCCCAAAGGCTACACCCTAAACCTACTTGAAGGTTCACGGGCAGCTGGGGTAGAATTACTGTAAATAAGGAAAGAACCACTTATAACTAGAGTTATCCCGCTTATAACCCCACTTAACACTACCCATGAACCTCCAAGTAAACTTGTCTTGTCCACACATAGGACTACGGTCTCCCACGCCTGACATTCCGGGCCCCCTTTTGGTACCTTATACCCTAAGCGAAATGGCATCAGATGAACCATAACAGAAACAAAAAAATGTCCCAACAAAAGACCACAAATCAGCTCAACTCTCAGACCCCAAACCCCATGAAACCCCCACTAATTGGGGGCATTTCCAAGTAGAGGGGGGGAAGGGCGAGAGAGGGTACCCTCTAATGCCCACCCCCCCCCCCCCCCCCCCCCCATACTCCCCCCAAAAAAAGGGCAACGAGACCCGACCTGCGAACCAACAGTTCATGCGGGTCCTGGGGCTGCTTAGGGTTTTGGGCTTCGGGATTTAGGGTTTAGGGTTTAGGGTTGACACCCGCTGCCCGGCCTCAACCTGTGAAGCCAAGCATCACACGTCAGCTGACAAAGCCCCTGAAGGTGAGGCCCGTCGTGAAAATTCCGCTGAAACCCTCCACTTCGGAGCATCCACCGCGGCACATGGGTTCTGAGCTTCCGGCTTTAGGGCACGGCGAATATGGCAAGGTGGAGCTGTCAACAAAAGCTGCAACCGAATCATTACCCCCCCCCAAAAAAAAAAAACCTAAACCCGAAACCCTCAACCCTAAACCCGAAACCCTAAACCTACAGCCCTAACCCCCCCCCCCCCCCCCCCCCCCCCCGGCCCCCCCGGAAACAAATAAGCCCTCGGTGGCCGGCTCCATGGTCAGACTGTTGAACTTGAAGGCCTGGCCAAGGGAAAAAAAACACAAATGCCCAGAACCCCCCAAGCGTCCTTCGAAAGATGGCCCTTCTTGAGGTGACGTAGGGGCCGAGTATTCCCTTATGGCCCCTACGTAATTATGCTCTAAACCCCCCCCACCAAAACCCTACTCTTATTTAGCTAAGGCCCGACAATATAGGGGCCTGTGGGAATAGGGTTTTGGGGGGGGTTATGATTTCACAGCTATGTAGGGATCGTGAGGGAATACGATTAGTATTTTTGTTTAATACACTTAACAACTATATGAATTTGTCAATATCTATTTTACAATATTCAAATGATGTTAAATCTAATTTTTCTACTGTTATCAAACACCATATATCATCTAATTCAATATGGTTTTCATATCTTATTATTCCGAGCCCCTATAGTACCTCAAGGTACGCTTTGAGGTACCCTGCTATTTATACTCTTTGAGGTACCCAACCCAGAGAGCCCATACAAATCAGAGCTTCTCATTCAGAAGGAGGACCACATGTTATAACGTCTGCTCCCAACTGAGCTTCCCGAGGAACCCTAACCCCGCAAACCCTAACTCTGGGGGGGGGTTTGGGGAGGTGGGCACTACTGAGTGACTGCGGTGGTCTTTATGGAGTGTGGGGGTTGAAGGTCTAAGGTTCCAGGCCTGGGCATTGATGCCCTGGCTCGCCAAGTCGATCGCAGTTGTCCTTCGAATGCACCCACACACAACGCCACGTCGATGATGACCCGAACACCCGAAGCCCCTAAACCCTCAACCCTAAACCCTGAACCCTCAACCCTTCATTCCGGAGTATCTTCCCACAGCCCCGGCTTTGGCCTACGTTCAACCCTGGTGTAACCTTGGGGTTGGGGCTTGAGGGTTTACGGTTTAGGGTTTAGGGATTGGGGCTTGAGGATTTAGGGTTTAGACCCTATAGGCCCGAAACCCTAAGCCCCTTGCTACGAGACTTCTCCTCCGAGTTCTGAATCGGCCCAGCACGGCTTCGGGTGTGGTGTTTAGGTAAGGTTTAGGGTTTAGGGCTTAGGATTTAGGATTTTGGGTTTAGGGTTTAGGGTGTAGGGGTTTGGGATGTTTGGGTATTTGGGGTGCTTGGGTTTTAGGCTTTGGGCTTTGCTTCAAAGCCTGTGCACCCACATCCTAATCCTAGTGACAGAGCTGGCATGGAGGACCCTTCACTCTGATGCGCCGCCAGCCTGAACAAGCCTCGACCCCACACCCCCCTCCACCCTACACCCCACAAAACGCAGCATCAACCCCAAAATCGGAGATCCTGAGCCCGCCCCCATCCCACAGAAGACCAACCGTCAACCCCGACACCCTTGGGCAGTTAGGGGGGTTTAGTCTTTAGGGTTCAGGGTTTTAGGCTTCAGGATTGAGGGAAGCTACTGGAAATCCCCTAAGACCCCGTTCAAGCTTGGCCCCCTGCACCGCGACGGGCAGCTCCGCCATGATTGCTAAACCTGAGGTCACAAGCTAAACCTGAAGCAACCGCAAGAATTGAGAAACAGGCTTGTGGCTCAGAATTGACCCCTGGTCCTTATGAGGGAATGAGGGCCCGCTAATCCCTTTAGGGGATAAAAAAGGACCCTCATTCCCTCATTCCCTACTAAGAACCAGCCAGATTGTGTTCAGGGTTTTGGAGCTCAGGGTTTGGGGCTCGCGGGTTGGCGTTGGCAGGTTTAGAGGGTCAGAGCCTCACCCTCACACGCAATGGAAGTTCGGAAATTAAGAGCAACGTCAAACCCCGAAACCCTAAACCCTAAAGGTTGGGGGAGTCCTTGGGGGTAAAAATAAGGGGTTCGAGGGGTCGAGGGGTTTGGGTTGCAGGTGCGTCGGGGTCCTGAACCCCTCAACCCTAAACCTGAACCCTGCACCCTGAACCCTTAAACTCCAAACCCATGCCAACCACGTTCAAGGCTGGCTCTGGCAGTGGCAGAACCTTTCGCACACTGAAGCCCTGAACGCCCTACGAATCTGCCACAACTGACAACCCTCAGACCCTAAACCCTAAAACCGAGGGTTTAGGGTTTAGGGTTTAGGGTCTAAAGTTTAGGGCTTAGGGCTTGGGGTTTGGGGCTTGGGGTTTAGGGAAACATGTACGAGGCATGGCTTGCGAGCGGCGATAGGCAGTGGGCCGCCAACAGGGCAAGGCAAATCTGAACTCTACGCTGTCTTGAGCATGCACCAAGACGAGGTGTGCACGTGAGCATGACACCCAAAACGTCTTCGTGAGAGTGTTCTCTCTCACCCTGAACCACCCAACTCTGCAGAACCAGCCACTCCCGAAAGAGCTCACTCAAGCTCAGCGAGCAGCAAAAGCCAAGCTCGAAGCGCCTTCTACCCCAGAACCCTGGAGCTCCAACTCCGTCATGGCGGAATCTGAGGACAAAAATGCCCAAAGGATATCGGCTCCCAGGTGCGCCTACGAAGAAGCTCCCATTTTGGCCCGCCACGCTGGCTCCAAAGCGTCCAATGTTTCAAGGCCACCGCACAGAACTGGCGTTCGCCGCGTTGCTGTTCAGGAATTTATGCTATGTGTAAAGGACCTCAAAGCTGTCACACACACACACACACACACACACACACACACACACACATATATATATATATATATGAATAGAGATATAGCTTTGCGTGTATATGTATACGTATACGTATACGTATACGTATGTGTATACGTATACGCATATGCATAGGCATATGCATACGTATATGTATATGCACATATATCTTTTTCTATATATGTACGTGCGAGTGTACGTGTATATTTTAGGCATACACATTCTATATATACACAAACCCTACCTACCTACGTACATACAAACATACATGTATACATCTCTACATATATACTTGTATACATATACACAGATATGTTGCGAGCCGAGTTGAGGCTCCCTAACAGCGAACGCAGCTTCTTCTCGGCGGCTCACTCTGAAGCGCTGAGATCTTTCTGCGCAGTGGCGTTGCAAAGATTTGGTTGTGTCGGCAGTGCCCTGTAGGGGAGCCCACAAGAGAGGCAGTGGCTGGGAGCCTGATGAACATTGCCAGAACTTGTGCTGGCAGAGGCTCTGGAGGGCGCTCCGTGAGATTGCGCGGGTCAGAATGGGCACATCTCATTCAGGAAGTAGCCGCAGCTGGACCAGGAGCTCTGAAAGAAGGCGCTCAGCACCTTGGGGTTTATATCTCTGAAGTGACCCCCATTCTAGGGTACTCGAAATGAAAGGCTCCGTGTCCTAGTAGGAGCCCGAAAAAGGGGGGACCATAATTGGAGAAGGGCCCACCTCGCAGCAGGAAGAGATGGAGGATCCAAACACCACCAGCATCCCGTTGAGGAGGTTGCCCAAAGACATGCAGCATCCGCCCATGCATCGGCCGGAAGCATTCCAGCAATGCGAGCACCATCCTCAACAAACAGGGCCTCCCCTTATGAACCCCTGAGGCGTTACGGCTTCGGGTCTGCAATTGTCGTAGGTTGGCATGAGGTGTTCGAAAAAGGAGGGGTGGTAGTTTTTCAGCATAGCCGGCACCCTGAACCCTCATCCCCTCCAGCCCCATACAAATGCTCATAACCCGACAACCGAAGCCTACAGTTTAGGGTGTAGGGTTTAGGGGATAGGGTTTAGGGTTTAGGTGCCCGCCCCAAGACTGCCCACTTACAACTCTCATGGAGTTAAGGTATTGAATTCTCTACAAGGCAACCTGTATTGTTGATGCAAGGGGGTTTAGACGAACTTGATATGAAACTCTTCACTGGCGCCACCTGTGAGTTTTACTGGGAACTTTTGCGTTGCTTGGGTCACTGGGTACACTTTATTCATTTGGTCACTCGGGACACTCGTTCTTCGGGCACTTGGGCCACTTAGGTCACTTTGTGACACTCGAGACGTACTTTGGTGTCACCTGGGTCGCTTGGAGCACATGGGCCACTTGAACAGCTGGATCGCTGGGTCACTTGAAACACTTCGAGCACTTGGGGAGCACGGGCACTGGGGACACGTCATTCGCTCGGTCCCTTGGGACACTTAGATCACCTGCGGTCGGATGTTGCGGTCACTTGGGCACTTCGGTCACTTAGGTACTTGGTTTTCAGCTTGTGATATGCCATAAACTAAACTTGGTCGGGGCACTTGGCGACGCAGGGGCTTTCTAAGGCCTCCAGGCCAGGGGCCTCCAAAACCTAATGGGGGCTTTCAGCCGCTTAGAAGAGGGAGCCCTGCGTGCCCCTGGTCTCCATGGACCCAGCAGACCTGCAAAGCAGGACAGGGTCTCGCTGAGCGCTCGACCGGCACCCGCATACCCAAAAGGCGGTTTAGGGTTTAGGGTTTCGGGTTTAGGGTTTAGGGCTTCGGGTTTAGGGTTTTTGTTTAGGGTTTAGGGTCTGGGGAAACCACTTAAACTTTAACCCAAGGCTCCTCCGCAACCAGGGCATCGGCCCAGCCCGTGGCCCACCGACCCGCAGCAATCCCCAAAGCCTGCCAGGGTCGGACTTCTTGGGGTTCACGCTGGAAGCAGGGCCTTTCGGGCGTTGTTTTGGTGAGGCTTGAGGTTTAGGCTTCAGGATTCTAGGGTTCAGGGCTTTTGGGAAGTAAGTCCAAGTGAAAGCGAAGATTCCCGTCACCTCTCCCACTGCAGCCTTGGTTCACAGAGCTGAACATCGAGTGGATACAGCGGCCGGCGCTGTCAAACATCTGGGAGATGAAGGCACCAACCTTGCTAGGAGAAGAATGGTTGAGGGTTTAGGGTGTAGGGTTTAGGGGTTAGGGTTTTGGGGTTACCCGAAACCCTAAACCCGTCTGGGTGTATTATTTTTAAGGGAGTTTTTTGTTGAGTACCCAAAAAGGACAAAGAGGCTGCCCCTTGGCCAAGCAGCTGCGTGGATGGCTTTGCCCACAGCGGCCCCACATTTTAGCCAGCAGGATCCGATGGCACTGCCTGAATTCATGAATATGATTTTCAAAGGTTTAGGGTTGAGGGTTGAGGGTTTGCCCTCAACCCTGAACCCTTAAGGTGCCTGTAAGGCTCCTGTACTAGCCTCGCATCCTTTGCGTCCAGCCTGGGGAAAGGGGGGGGCGGGAATGTATGGCCCTGAATGTACGGCGAAGATCCCTAAACCCTAAACCCTAAACCCCAAACCCTAAACCCAAAAGCCTAAACCCCTAAATGTTTGAAAGCTGAACTCTCAGATGCCTCTACCAAGGAAAAGAGCCCAGTAACGTACAGTAAAGTAGCACTGAGGAGCATGCGGCCAAGACTAGATGAGCTGGGGCTTTTTTGGGGGGCTTTGGAAAAACAACAAAAAAACACAACAAAAAAAGTGAAAAGAAGCTTTCCAGAGTCCGCCTCCTGCGGCCTGCAGCAGGCGCAGGCGGGCCTTCCCCCGGCGCTCCTCTGGGGAGTCCAAGAGGAGGAGGAGTGCGGCGGCCACCAAGGCTGTAGCGATGACCCCGACCTCGGCTCTTCCGGACTTAGGGTTTAGGGTTTAGGGTTTAGGGTTTAGGGTTTAGGGTTTAGGGTTCAGGGTTTAGGGTTTAGGGTTTAGGGTTTAGGGTTTAGGGTTTAGGGTTTAGGGTTTAGGGTTTAGGGTTTAGGGTTTAGGGTAACGCCCAGCACCTGCAACCTTCAAAAGCCTTTGAGGCCCTCTGACTCCCCCTGAATACACCCAACCCTAAAATCCCTAAAGCCCCAAGCCTCTCAACCCTCAAACCTTCACCCTAAACTCTAAAACCCTAAACCCAAAAAACCCTTTCAAACCTCAAGCCCTCAAGCCCGAAATCGAAAAACTCAACTCAACCCAAAACCCTGAAACCCTTAAACATCCTTAAACGTACACATCTTTAAGCCCCTGAACATCCTCAATCACCCTTGAACAAACATCCTTAAACAAACATGCTTTAACATCCTTAAACCCTCAACCCTAAACCCTTAAAACCCCCTAAGCCCCAAACCCTGCATCCTTAAAACCCCCTAAATCCTCAACCCTACATCCTTAAAACCCTAAACCCTAAACCCTACATCCTGAAAACCCCTCAACCCTAAACCCTACATCCTGCAAAAAGCCCCCTAAAACCCTAAACCCTGCATCCTTGGAACCCCCAAACCCCAAACCCTACATCCTTAGAACCCCTGAACCCTAAACCCGCAACCCTAGACCCTAAACCCGAAACCCTAAACCCCAAACCCTTCAAAACTTTGCCGGCTCGACTGTGACAGCAGCACCAAGCCATGGTCGGCATGGCGCCTGGGACCCGGATGCCTCGGTGGGCTCCAGGGCCTCCGGGTCCTGGGGCACCTTACAGGGGAGACGGAAAGGGGTTCGGGGTTTAGGGCTCAGGGTTGAGGGTTTCGGGGTTTCGGGGCTTAGGGCTTAGGGTTTCGGGGTGTCGGGTTTCGGGTTTACTTTAAGGGTCAGGGTTTAGAGTTCAGGGCTTGGAGTTCAGGGTTCGGGTTACATGTGTGCTCATGCGTGTTTCTGTGTGTGCGTGTGCGCGCATATATATATATATATATATATATATATATATACATATATATATATATATATATATGTGTGGTTTTTGTGGCGGGGGATGTGCTTTGCGTGCAAGTGGTGGCCGTAAGCCCAGGTGTGTGCACAGAGTCAGGATGTAGGGGGTCGAGGAAGCAGTGGAGATAAAAAGTTCGGCATCGGTCACTCAAACTTAACCCCGCCATCATAAGCAAACGTCGCGACATCTTTCCGGACTGTCAGCCTGCAGCGGCTCACCAGCCTCTCCCGTACCACAGCTTTGCATGGGCGCAGAGATTTAGTTCGCAGACGCTTTTTCGGTCACCAAAAACCAGAGGAAGAAGCTGCGAAAAAGGGCTAGCTTTCGTGTCCTTGAAAACAACAAGAACCATGGAAAGCACCTCAGAAACAGGAAAAACCAACGAAACCTCAAAACAACCCAACAGTGAGGCGCACCTCGAGATCCGAGGAAACCAAATGTACAGCCTCCTGTGGCGTTTCGGAGCAGCTCGGTTTAGGGTTTAGGGTTTAGGGTTTAGGGTTTAGGGTTCAGGGTTTTGGGGTTTTGGGCTTATGACAATATTGATGCTGCGTCCCCTGAGTGGCAGAGTAGCAGCTGTTAGGAAGCTTTCGGTTTCTTCAGGGCCTGCGGTCCTGACTCAGGTGCCTCTGAGGCACCAACTCCATACAAATCCCACAGGGGCAGCTTGTAGCAGGACCCTCTATAAGCCCTATTGTGCTCTGCCGTCCTCCTTCGATGCCATCGCAATCACTGTGCACAGCCTTCCGTCTTGAGCCAAGCGCCTACAGAGCTTCGAGCCATGAAAGTGGCTGAAGCTCTAGACCACACCCACACACACCGAGACAGAGACCGAGACAGCCTCTAACTTTTCACTATACGTCAATTTTGGTTCGTCCATGCCGAAAACTGGCTTTTTGCCAGGGGCCATGGGCCTGGTGCCGATGGCACTGATGCTCCAACCTTTTGCTGCAGAGTGCCGTCCTTGGGCTTTCTTGGGGGAGGCGGTCTCAACGGCCAAGGGCCCCAAGTACTTTAGGTGGAGACGCTTGCTCCGAAACGAGCTAGGGGAGTCCCAGCTGTATAGCTATGAGGTAAGGTCCCGGAATGAGCCGGTTTGAGGACTCAACAAGTGCGGAGAGGGCACAAATTCCGCCCCCTCCTTGCACAGCTTGCTAAAAATGTCTGCAGACACCCTTTCCGGCTGCGCCAAGTCACAACAGCCAAAAGGATGCCCTCTAAAAGAAGGCAGGTGATATGGTCACATAGGGGAGTTTCCCAAAACATCTTTGGGGCTTCCTAGAATAATCAGGATCACAGCACTTGTTGGGAAACTCCCATATGCAGCACCTGTAAAGTTATATTCCACACATCGACTCTCACAAGTAGTCTACATACACTTCATGTATTTCATCCTCTTCCTCACAAACTGGCCGCAGGGCATGAGACTCCGGTCGGGCCTGGCAGAAGACGACCCTGAAACGCAGAGCACGAAAGAAAGGAAACCGAAGCTCCACGACAGGACCCCCCGATCTCTGAAATCCCCGTATTCCCCACAAGCCACCTCCACAAAAAGAACAAGGACCTTACAGGTCACGACGTGTTGATGACACATTGCGGATCATTGCCAGGGGAGTGGAGGCCAATAATAACCTAAACCAAATGCTGGATGCTGGCAAAGCTTTGGCTTCTAGGGATTGGTTTAGGGTTTAGGGAGCCCCAAACGTCATCTTCAGTGGATCGGGGATACTTTCGAGACAGCGTGGCCGAAGTGAGCCAAGCCTTCCTCTCTGACCAGAAAAGGAAGGGGGGGGTTTGGGGTTTGGGTCCGAACCCCCCCCCCCCACCCCCCCCAAAAAAAAAAAAAACAAAGGAAAGCAAAAACATAGACAAAACGAACCCTAAAAGGCCCTAAATTCTAATCCCTCAACCCTTTGGCGTGTCCTGGGTCGCCTCGGAGTCGTCGCTGTTGGGGTTGTCGTCGTCCTGCAGACCCCACTGGGCCAGGATCTTCTGCCCGACGCTTGGGCTGCAACAGAGGACGAGGCTGGCAACCGTGCCGTATACCAGGGCCTCGTTGGTGCGAACAGTCCGACAAAGGGTTTAGGTTGGGATCTTCCCCCCTCATACTAAGAGTCCTTCATCGGGATTCTTGTGCCCTCCTATGCTGATCCCTATTACGGACTGTTAGTATAAGGGGTAACATGTTCACGGCTTCGGGATGAACATCCTTGCCCAGGTACTAGGTACAGGGGCTTCAGCACGAGATCCTGCAAAAGGCTCATCGCGGTGCCTCGGCCGCCACGTCGGCTTGCAGGTTCTTAGGGTTTAGGGTGCTTAGGGCTTAGGGGGGGGGTTCAGGGTTTGCAGGCAGCTCAAGGGCTCAAGAGCACTATTCCAAAGATCGGCCGAAGAACGAGTTTGGGGTCCCACAGCACCACTGGGAGACCAAAACGCAAGAAACCAAAACGGCCAAAAGAAGGCGACGAAAATGCAGGCGAAGACTCTTTCGATCCATTTGACCCCATCTGCTTGGCTCACGTTGGCCAGGAAGCCACACACGTACAGGATTGAGATGCCAACATCCAGAAACCTGGCTAAACCCACAACCCCAACCCTGCAAACCCTAAATCCTGAACCCTAAACCCCGAACTTAGGACTCAAGGTTCAGGGTTGGACCTAAACAGCCCCCTCTCTCCATGCCCCTGGGTTTAGCGCTTGGGGTTTAGGGTTTATGGTTACTTGGAGGGTCGGGAGACTTAGTAAGTGGATAGTAAGTAGACGTATAAGTACCCTAAAGGCCCTAATTGGAGTTTATCCTACTTACAACTCTGTCAGACAACGACTTACTAAGTCCTCCGACCCTCCAAGTAGGGGTCTTGGATTTAGGGTTTAGGGTTGGGATGCAAAAAGGGATAGCTTAGATGGTTCAGGGCTTATCTTCTTTTCTTCGCTACATGTATCTTGGGGGTGTCGAAGAGGGCACCTCACCCTCGAAAACGTGAATAAGGGTCTGACTGGTGGCCCGAGAGGACCCTCACCAAATCCCTAAACCGGTCTGGGGTTAGGGTTTAGGGTTTCGGGTTCAGGGTTTAGGGTTTAGGGGGCTTCGGGTCAAGCCCTCAAAGCATCCTAGGAACCAGAGCAGCCAGAAGAGGTGGCGCCGGCAGCGCCATCTCCTCACTGAATCTTGGGGCGCTTAGATTCAGTTTAGGGTTTAGGGTTTAGGGTTTAGGGTTTAGGGTTTAGGGCTAAGGGCTAAGGGCTTAGGGTTTAGGGTTTAGGGTTTAGGGTTAGGGTTTAGGGGTTGAGGGTTGAGGGTTTCGGGTTCTCTTCTTTCCCGGCTTGGGAGTCCCCAGCCCTCAGCCCGAACCCCAAGTACGCGCGCCCGGAGTTTGAGAAACCAGGCCATCACACCACTTTCAACCCTCAACCCAAAACCCTAAACCCTAAACCCTGAACCCTAAACCCTAAGCCCTGAACGATAAAACCCTAAGCCTCAAACCAGAAGCCCCTCCAAACTCTCAAACTGGGTCCTCAGCTGCCTCTCTTTGGCCTCTTCTGTCCAGTGACGAATGAGGACCTGCAGGTAGGGTTTGGGGTTTGGGGTTTGCAGGAACTAAAATTCAAGCCTTTGGGGCTTAGGCGGCCCGAGGGGGGCTCATCGTCTGCCTAGGTTTGGGCTTCTGGGATTCTTGGCTCGTCATGGGATGCTGCAGGCTTCGAAGAACCAAAGCCTGCCGTCTCTGCACCATGGCCAGCAGCACTATAAGCCTGAGCTGCTCTTTTGAAGTCAGCATATGCAGACTCTGAAATCGTGGCACAACACGTGTTGGCAATTGTTAACAGGCCATTGGGGAGATACTTTGCATGCCGCCCAGCTGCAGGTCGCCCATGCAAGCGGAGAGGACGCCGACGATGGTCGCGCGCAGCAGGCGCTCGCCGGGGGTCTGCGGCGGGCCACAGTCCATGTCCGAGTCGGCCGAAACCTGGGCCAAAAAAAGCGACGTGTGTCGCCGCCGTGTTTCCGCACGTCAAGGCACACGCATCCTTGAAAAAAAGGAACCCCAAGCTTCAGCAGAGAGGCCGCCGAGCTGGAGAAGAAGAGTGCGTTGGCGGCAGCTGCAGACACCAGCTTCAGAATGATCAGTGAGGCCCGGACTGCATGGGACCTGAACAAGCTCACGAACTGCATGGTGACCCAGGGATGCATGGCTCGCGTTAGCAGAACCACGCGCTTGCACCAGCGGCTGTTCAAAAAGTCCTTGGCCGCCAAGGACTTGCCTTTGTTGTGGGCAAATGTCTCGTCCATGCGCACGAAGTCCTCGACTGTCACTGACACGCCTGCCGTGGTCGAGTGCCGCATGTGCCTTGGAACGGACGAGCAGCGACAGCACTGTGTTAAGGCAACCGTAGGCAGAGGTATAAGAAGATCTTTTCCCAGGCTGCTGTTTTGGGTTGACCGTTTGGGAAGATTCGAAGTTCGAGGTACCTCAATCCCGAAACCTGACCCAAGAGCGGGCACACAGATTAAGCACCCTAAATCCTAGACCCCAGACCCTAAACCCAAACCCCAAACCCTAAACATCCGTGATTCCGGGAGTCCCTGAATAGCAAGGGCCCGAAGTCCACAATCACCAGAACTCCCCCAAGCCCTCAATGGAAGCTAGGGCTTAGGGCTTAGGGCTTCGGGTGTCGGGTTGAAGGTATCTGCCGATGCTCTCAACCCCAACCCGCCCCGCTTGCCCTAAACCCAACAAACTTCAAGTTTGCAGCACCCTAAACCCTAAACCCTAAACCTTGGACCCGAAAAGCTGTGCTAAATCATGACGAGCTGCGCGTGGCCCACCGATGTCTCTGCCGCACGGATGCTCTGCCGATCGGCGTGGCTCTTGTAGGAGTGCAGGGAGCTGATACAGCGGTTGACCGTGACCACCTAGTGCTTCAGGGCTTTGTTTTTTGAATGGTGCGCTCCTGTCTACGTCAGCAGATGGGTGAGCAGTCTACCTAGTGCTTCAGGGCTTCAGGTTTAGCGTTTTCTCCATGGGCCCGTCTTGGGGGGATGCTTTAGGGATGCTTCTTTGGCCCGCACAAGTGCCGCTTTTTTTTTCACACCTCACCCTGGCATTCATCAGCTCCGTCAGCACGTCGGCATCCGGAACTTCGAACATCTGGCTCAGGAACCAGGCGAAATTCGACACCAACCATGAGGCGGCCTGAGAGCTGTTCCTCCCCTTCTGCTAGGGAGGGCTTGCACAAGGACAGTTGGACAACGAATGACGGGAGAGAGCGGGTTTTTTTAAGAGCGAAAACCCATCATGAGCAGCAACGTGATTTTGTCCATCATGATGATAATGTTGTCTACATCAGGGTATGCCGGGGCTAAAGGCGCAAGGCTCAACGCGAAGACTTGACGAATCTGCCCCAACTGAAGTCCCGCAACATGTGAGCGAACAATGAGGATTGCGACCCCCTGACATGCCCGACCCCACCGTTGGCACGTGTTGGCACTTTCGGAACGATGCGACATTTTCGAGGATGACGCGGACCCCGAAACCTGCGACATGAACACGTTGGGCAGGAGACAAAGACTCGTGACGATCCCATAGGAATAGGGGATAGGATTAGGGGGACCCTTGGGGACATAGACCCTCTGAGTAAGGTCCCTGTCTACGAGAGCCAGAGGAGGGTTCAGAAGGGCTCCCTTTTAAAGGGCCCCCTTTATCAAACCTAGGAAGGAACAACTTTCGCGAGCATGGCAGGGATGACACGCTGCACAGCAGGTCCTCGCCAGCCTTGCCTTTTGTCTGTAGAAGAAGACAGCACAGAGTCAGTGGAACAACCCTTCACCAAAACTTTCGGGGAAAAAGCTGGGGGCAGACACAGAGACTGCAATGCAAGCCTACCTCAGGGCTACAGCTCGGCTAGAGCTGACTTGTAAACTTACTTCAGATACTTGCAGCCTCCAAGTAGAGGCAGAACTCGCGTGCCTATGCGAACCCTTAACCGCCATAACCCCACTCATTGCTTTGGGCTGCCAAGCCTGACGGCAGACGCTGGGCTGTCGAACCTGGCTTTTCAATCTCTCATCCAATCCGTAAACATCACCCTTGTTACTCTGACTGCTTTAACTACTCTTCCTACGACTCTACTGCCATTATGTCATAGTATTACTTCCTACTCGCAATACTATTGTCCCTACTCGCATCAATAGTAGTACTACGCGCAGGAGGGTAAGTTGTAGTAGTGGAAGTAGTACAAGTAGTACTACTGGGAATACTACTAGTACTACGAGTAATACTAATAATAATCTAACTTGTAATACGATTAGTACTACGATTACTATGACTTCTATGTTTCGAATTTGTTCTCTCGACACTGTCAGGGTTCGAGGCTACCCGGAGATCGCCAAACATGTCTGCAGCCTTCTTCTCCACCTCTATCTCTTCATCCTCCCCCTCGCAGTCGTCAGCAAGCTCCTGACTGCAGACACGACAGTTACCGATGCTCGAACTCTGATGCGACTTCTCGCAGACAGGGCTCCACCACACGAACCCGATATGCCATGTTATTGTCATATGCTCGTTCTGTGCAGGGCCACGCCCTGTCAACAGAATTCCTCTAGTGTCCTGCTGACACTTGCCTCCCGTGCAGTAGATTAGATTCTCCTGCTCCTCCACTTCCAGCTCGATCAGTAAAGCGGCCTCCACCTGCTTCCTGCCACGATGCCGGGCGCACTGTTTCAGAACCCAGGCCACGTAAACTTCGTCTTCAGGACTCAGGACTTCTAAAATGGGGGGATATGGGGGGGATCAGGCGTAGCACCGAGCAGCCCCTCCTGGATAGCGACCGCTTTCTGTCAAGCCGTAGGGCATACAGGAGCAGCAGGAGGCAGATGAAGAGAGCCTTGGGGAGACTGGTCGTTTAGGGTTTAGGTTTTAGGGTTTAGGGTTTGGGGTTTAGGGTATAGGGTTCAGGGTTTTAGGGTAGGGTTTATAGCCGCATCCACTGGAGTTTCGGTAGAGTAAAGCGTGTCATCACCTAACCTGCTGTGAAGTGCCCCTACACGTAACATTCTCAAGGTCGGAGAGGTGGCATGACAAACGTCTCCTTGCCTCTAGCTTCAGGAGTCCAGGGTGTCAAAGCCGGCCCATGGTCCATACAGAAAAATTCAAAACCCTGTAATTTTAATTCAGGATCTACCCCGTCACTTCTGGGGTTCTGTTAAACAGCATTAAGAATAAGAATGATAATAATACGTAATAACAATGGTAGTAATAATAGTACTGATAAATAATAATAATACCAGTAGTAATAGTACCAATAATGGAAGCTGTCGTGCCCTGGCCGCATCCTGTGCTCGCCAGGCAACGCTGAAGGTAATGACTGCGTGGGCGTGGCCAGGCCACGTGCCTGCTGGGTTTCGGGGGACTCTGGAGTTCAGGGCTCTGACCCTCCGCATCTCTGGCCACATGCATTGCATCCCACATGTAGGTCCCCGGAACCTGGTAATCACTAGAATCCAAACCTCTAAACCCTAACCTCTAAACCCTAAATCCTAAAACCCTAAACCCTATACCCTAAACCCTAAACCCTAAAACCTAACCCCCGAAGCCCGAACACTCCCAAAGGCGGGCCCTTGCTGAGGTTCTCGAAGCCCTCCGCAGAGAAGACCTGCGTGGCGGTGGAGCAACGGAGCACCTGGAGGAACGCTTCCAGAACTGCACCAAAGACCTGCAGCAAGCTCAGGGTTTAGTGTTTAGTTGGGGTTTGGGGTTTAGAGTGGGTTTAGGGTTTAGGGTTTAGGGCTTGGGGCGTAGGGCTTAGGGTTTAGGGTTTAGGGTTTACGTTTAGGGAGAATGCTTCTGTTCTTGCTTTGTTCCCCTCTGGGCAGCTGCGTGTTGTTTGTAGGGTTTCGGGTTGAGGGTTTAGGGTTTAGGGTTTTGGGTTTACGGTTGGCAAAACATGGGGCTTGCGGGGTTTGGGACGCTTGCAAGAACAGCGGACAGATATTTCCCAACGACCTTGACAGCCTGCTGCTTCGAATTTAACTAGGCTGCGGTGATCAGCTCATGCCCACACCTACCCAAACTGTCTTCCAATCTCCTGTCGATCAGCCTTCTGAATCATGTAGTGGCTGTTCTATCGGGGCACCAGGGCAAGCACCAAAGGACTGGTCGGAATCATGAGACCACAGAACCCAGGGGCAACACCTACGAAATCTGAATGAAGTCTGTTTGCATTTACTCATCACACCCAGGAAAAGAAAGCCTGGGCTTCAAGGTTGGTTGAAGTACACCTGGGAAAGAAAACCAAGATTGATGCCGTCACCCCTGCGAACTATCAAAAGAAGCTAAACCCACCCTAAACCTTTCATCCGACCCGAGTTCCCCCCCAAAAAAACAATAAATAAAAGAACCCAAGACAAATTAACACACACACACACACACTTCTCCCGAAAATCCAAAGGCGAATGGAGTCAGAGGGACAGTGAGGTGGGACGTCTGGCATTGCAACTCCCCGTCCCGGAAGGAAATCTCACGCAAGCCCTCTGAGGACCAGGTGCCCGTCTCCTGAGACACTGGAGTGCTTCGGGGACTCGGGTGGCTTGGGATGCAAGGGCTTGATTGAAAGACTCCGCAGCAGGGTTCGTGCTTCTAGGAAGCCTTGTTAGCGCCTTGGGGGGGTCTGTTCCTAGGGCTCCTCCTCCCAGAAGGCGCACCGCGAGCCTTCTCGGGCTCCCAAAAGCAGAACCTCGATGGGACGTGCCAGGGACGGCATCGGAAGCCTCTGGCCGTCCGGCCCGCGGAAGGTGATGCTGACGGGCCGGGAGACCAAAGCGCGGCCTCCGAGGAGAATGCTGTTGGCAGGGAATGGGGGGATGGATGGGGTACCCCATATAATCCCCAAAAAAGGGTGTATATATATATATATATATATCGCGCCCGAATTCCCTCATTCCCTGCTAACCAACAGCAAGAAGAGTAGAAGCAAATGAAGACGAAGTTGAAAAAGAATGTATACAAGAGCTAAAACATCCCTTGCAAGAATGATAAGAATGCCTGGCCGAAAGACATTCTGACATTCCTAGAATGTCCAACATCCCTTTAGAAAGGATCTCGTGTGGAACATCTCGAACATGCTGCAAAATCCACCCCGCGCCTCCGCCCTTGGTGCCGTTGAGCTCGGCCCCAAGCTCTCCGAGGCCGACGGAGACGCTGAGCAGCACCAGCCCGCTGTCGCCAGCTGCGGCTGCCTGGGGGGTCTTCTTGTTGGGGTTTGGGTTGGTTGGCTCGGGGGCATGATTTTAACTGGGAGATTGGGGTGCCGGCAAATACGCACCCGGACCCCGGAGCGGCACCTGGGCAACGACATCCGAAGGAACCTCCACACGAGCGCTTGTGCTCTGCACCGTGATCGTGCGGTTCATCTCGGAGATCGTGGGGCTGTCCCTGAGATGGGGGAATATTGGCACAGCCATGGCACAGCTTCAATGTCAAAATCTTACAGACTCGAAAGGCTCTCGAAAGCTCATAAACGTACATAAAAGTGCCCCCCCAAGTTGCAAAGCCAGAGTCTGAATGGTCGCCAAGTCGGACTGATTGAGGGTGCTTCCTAGGATGCCAGTCGAGTTGGAGCTGTTGGAGCTGTTGGTTAGCGCGGCTATCAACTGCCTAGCGAGCTCCGACTCAGTGCTGTCAAGGTCATCCAACAGCAGATCCGCATTTGCAGTCGGAGAGAACTGTGTTCGGGTCGTACTTGTGGTAGGGAGGACTTTCGTCCATGTTGTTGTCTGAGAGGCCCACGTGCTGGTACTTGTGGTGGTGTGGGTTTTGGTTGATGTCGTTGCAGAAACGACTGTTGTCGTACTGCTAGAAGACGAAGTAGCACTTGTTGATGTGCTTGTGACCGTGGAGGACGAAGTAGCACTTGTTGATGTGCTTGTGACCGTGGAGGACAAGGTGGCGCTTGTTGATGTGCCTGTGACAGTGGAGGACGAAGTGGCGCTTGTTGATGTGCGTGTGACAGTGAAGGACGAAGTAGAGGAAGTAGCACTGGTGGATGTAGATGCAGTACTTGAGGATGAAGTCACCGACGTCGTTGTTGTTCCGGTTTCCGAAGTTGAGGAAGAACTTGTTGATGTAGCTGTGACGGTCGATGTCATTGTGGAGGAGTGTGTGAGGCTCGTTGAGGTGCTTGTTGCGGAAGTTGCAGTTGAAGTAGAGCTTGTCAACGAAGTAGAAGAGGAAGTTACTGACGTGGCCGTTGAGGTTGTGGCTGTGGAGGTAGTCGCTGTTGAAGATGTTTGTGTGATTGTGGTGACTGTGGCGGTTGTGCGTGTGCTGGTTTCGGAAGTGGTTGTCACTGTTGTCGCAGTCGAAGATGTCAATGATGTCGTCACAGAAGTTGAGGTCACGGAGATGGAGGACGTGGACGTGGATGAAATCGTGCTTCGTGTGCTGGATGTCATGGAGGCGGTCGTGGAAGAACTAGAGACAGACGTAGACGAAGACGTAAGGGTTGAGGTTGAAGACAATGTGACCGTGGTTTCAGTTGTGCTGTCGGTCAGGGTACTGGTCGAAGTGCTGGTGCCAGTTGAGCTTGAAGTTACGGTCGACGTTGATGACTTCGTGTATGTTGTAGTTGCAGAACTGGTTGCACTTGTGGTGTATGTTGTAGTTGAAGAACTGGTTGCGCTTGTGCTTGAAGTTGTACCTGGGTGGCTTTACTTCGGCCTTCAAAGGCCCTGCATCTAGAAAGCCCAAGCGAAGCAACATCTCAAGCTCAGCGGAGTTGCTGGTGATGGACGTGTGGCTGGCATCCAACCTCCACAGGTCGTCCAAGAGGCCCAGCAATTGCACGCCACCGAAGGTGTAAAGGTGACTGTTCACGGGGTCCCAGACAGCGGCGCCTACCCACGCTGCGCAACTCACGCGGTGGTGGGTGGGCTATGGTGGGCTTGGGACGGTCTACTACAGGCAAGCCACCAACCCGAGGAGCTCTCCAAGCCCTCATGCCCCCCCCAGGTTTTACGGTTCAAGGGTTTTGGGGGGCAAGTGGCAGATTGTGCCTCTGTCTTGAGCAGGAGGACCCGACTCGGTGTATTGGCTCCAGCTGTTGTCCGTGGTGGAGTACCTAAGGCTGAAGATTACACCTCGAGGTGCGGCGAACAGTTAGAGCCAGCTCTCTAATCCCGCAACCACCAAAAAAAAAACCTACAGAATGGTCCTTGCGAAGGCAGCTCAAAGCTTGGGACTTAGGGCTGAGGGCCTAGAAGCCTAGCGGGGAAACCATGAAAACTTCCCAAGCCTTAGCCGCCACATGCTTGCACAAGGCTGTGTTGATCCCCTACCCTCGAACGGTTTTAGGGGTTTAGGGTTTAGGGTTTCGGGTTTAGGGTTTAGGGTTTAGGGTAATGCAGGCCTGGCTGCAGGAAAAGTGAGTTCAGCCGCGAGCCTTCCGAACCCCCAAACCCCAGCATTGCACGTGCCTGCGGATCCCACACTGCCGAGGCATACCTGACAAAAAAAAAAAATCAACCTGCGCTCAGGGCTTGAGGTCTTGGGCTTCTTGGGTGGGTATGTTGAGAGTCTAAAAACCCTAAACCCTAAACCCTAAATCCTAAACCCTAAACCCCAAACCCTAAACCCTAAACCCTGAACCCTACACCCTAAACCCTAAATCTAAACCAAAGACCTAAAAGCCTTCAATTTCGACCCCGCCTTCGGGCGGTGATGCTTCCGGACGGGCTGAGCATGGTCCAGGTGCCATCGTAGGTCCACAGCTCGCCGCTGTCCCCAGAGGCTGTGAGGCCGCAGCACATGAGCATGGTGCCTAGCATAGTGCCACTAGGGTTTAGGGTTTAGGGTTTAAGGTTTAGGGTTTAGGGTTTAGGGTTTAGGGTTTAGGGTTTAGGGTTTAGGGACCCCAAAATCCCCCGAAGCTCCTCCCCAAACGTCCCACCAACAAACCCTCTCCAAGTCCAAGGGCCGGCGGCGGCATCCCAGACGGCCACGTGGCCTTCGCGCGCCGCTGGGCCCTCCGCCGATGGAAAGGACCAGGAGTCACTCGACCGATCGTACTCCTGGGGCTTGCGTCTACGGGGTGAGTTTCAGGGCTTGCCGTGGGCTTACCGTTGATCCAAGGCCGTCAGCCGACACCTGCGAACCACATCCTCAACACCCAGGACTTGCTGTTCGGGTTTCTTTCATGCCTCGTGGTGCTTCCCTTCCAGAGTTGAAGCTTCTCAAGACACCAAGCCTCTTAAGCCCTAGACCCTCAACCCAAACATATTCTTGAGAACCAGGACTCTCCTCAAACCTCAAGCCCTATTTATTCTTGAGAGCCAGGAGTCTAAGATGTCCCCCATCTTGTTCAGCATGTTGTCCAGGCCACCGAATACGATCATGCGATCCAGGCTGCTATCCCACACCGCTGTGTGCCGCGAGCGCCCGGCCGTCCCCTGGAGCTCGGTCCTCTGGAGTTTAGGGCTGAGGGCTTAGGGTAGCTTAGGGTGGAGGGAGTCGAAACTTGTAACCTTTTGTTTGTGGCACAGGAACACGCACAGAAACTCAATAGCCGCCAAGCCCTCTCATGTGAAGGGACCCCAAGATGTGGTCCAGGAGTTGAGGGCCACGTCATAACCTGACAGAATTGGGCATGGCAGTCGGGAACACAGTTGTTGTGACCCTGCATATGTGATAGCTGCAGCAGGCGGGCTTAGTAGTCTATGACACGACTCCTCCAAATCCAGGCAGAGCAGCGATGGAGGTCGCTGAAGGTGTTGCCAGCACTGGCAAGGTTTGTGCCCGCAAATACGTACCTTTGAGGAAAGTGGAGCAACATACAGATATGAATATATATATATATATATGATGTCATACGTATGAATTACACCACCGAAAGACCTCAAGCAGTCAAAGGCACGTCAAAGAAACAGTGGAGACGATGGGAGACAAAGGGAGACGAAGGGAGACAAAGGGAGGCGAGGAGGCAAAGCCACCCACATGAAGGGAGACAAAGGGAGACGAAGGGAGACAAAGGGAGACAAAGGGAGACAAGGGGAGACAAGGAGTCCAGGAACCCGGCAACAGTCCTCAGAATGTCGGCAATGCTTAAATGCATTTAGAACCCCAACAGTAGACTGTTTGGGGAAAATATTTAAAAATAACGACAAAAAACATATTGCAGCATGCACCGTTTGAAATGTACATTGTGGATAGGTGTTGTAAAATACATGTCTATAGTTGTATATGTATGTATGCATGTATGTATGTATGGATGCATGCATGCATGTACGTATGTATGTGTGCATGTATGTCTGTCTGTTTGTCTGTATGCATGTATATTTGAAAGAAAAATGCGTGTGTAGAAACATGTATTTATATTTATAAACATATGTTACAAAGCAATATCTACAAAAAAATCCACATACATATGCATAACACCCAATGTTATAATATCTGGTATAAAAGGAGAAAACGTAGTAGAATATGTGTATAACATGTATATAAGTATGTATATAGGTACTTAGAATCTCTGAAGCAGCACCTATATTGCCTTCCTCAACCCTATACAAATCCTAAGCCCAAGGCCCTGACTCAGAAGCCCTACACTGGCTGCTAGCAGGTACATGGCTCTGGCAGTGGGATCGAACACTGCAGAGTGGCGGTATCGGGCCTCAGCTGCTCCAAATCACTGAAAACAACCCTCAATACAGCATAAAGACAGCAGAAAAATGAAGAAGCCTCCCAAGGGCCAGGGCCAGCAAGACACTGCAGGGCCCGATGCCTTCTGCGTCCAGGAGTTCCTTGTCAGCTTCGTGGACTCCGGCGATTTTTTGGGGTCTAAGGCCTTGGGCTCAAGGTTTAGTAATAATTAAATAGGGTTTGTAAAGGGTTTAGGAAAGGGCTCAGGGCTGGCGCTTCAGGATTTCGGGCTGCAGGCTGAAGGAAGTACAAGGGGGGTAATCAGAAAGCCCGAGCTTCTAGATCATAATCAGCGAGGACCCCCTAAGTCGTTTTAGATCTGATCCTAAAGTATGGCATATTAGGTTGCCTGAGCACAGCTCAAGGCGCGAGGAGACGCTGTAGAAGTATAGATCGTCGGTCTTGATGCTGAGCAACAGCTCACCGCCAAACATCCAGAAGCCTGGAGTCGCAGATGATCCGAAGACTGAAGCCCGCCCAACCCTAACCCTCCCCCACCACCCCCCCAAAAATGTACCAGACCCAAAAAAGAAAACAAAAGCCCAAAGAAGATCAAAAACACGCAAGCCCACAAAACCCTCAGCTGAAGATGGGCTTGCAGCGTTTCAAGTTTAGGGTTAAGTACAGAAGAGACTACCATCCTACATCCCAACCAAGAGCCAAGTGCAAGGCAATCAGCCGCCACCATCTGCACCTGGATCCCAGACCATCGTGTGCCCACCTTGGCCAAATCATCCCCTTGCTTCGATGTCTTGAGGATTGCGTACTAGAGAACAGACACACGGTGTGGTACTGGTCCGTGTGTAGTGTGCCCTTTTCCCGGGAAGGATACCCTAAAAACATGCAGGCACACCGATTTGCCTTCATAGTGTGGTTCAACAGCGCTAGTACAGCGCCCAGTCTGCGTCGAGCCCGGCAAACCCCCCACACTGTCACACATTGCTCCAAAAACCCTCGCCGTCAACTCCATCTTCAACAAGATACTGCTACAACCTAGTGACCCACATTATGAAGCCGAAGTTGACCTGTGTGCGTGGCATGAACCAAAAGAAGCCCTGAACCAGTACTCCTCAGCGGGAGCGCTCTACATGTTGGGATTCCGGGCCGAACATGTCAAGAAAGGGTTCACAGCAAAAAGAACAACCAAACCCACACTTGAAACCCCGAACATGAACCCCCAAATAGTAGGATTCCCTTATAATGAGGACTCCAAACTAAAGGTACATCAGTAGCATTCCCGTATTCAAAAAGGGGCCCCAAGGAGGTACCTCTTGCTGTCTCGTGGCTGCGGGCAGCCGGTCCAAGCAGATGAAAGATCAAGTTCCAGTCGTTGGCGGCTGCCATCGTCACCAAGGTCGCGAATCCCAACACGCGCAGAGCACCGCCAAGCGTCTGCATCTGGAGCTGAGGGTTTGGGGTTTAGGGGCAAGGGCTTAGGGGAACAAATCTTGCATGGAAGGCTGGCAACAAGAACCTTGGATGTGGCAAGATTGTTCGACCTGCAGAGTTGGAACTTACCCGAGTCAATGGAGACTTGTTCTTGCACTGCCAGCCTCCTGCAAAAACTGTACAAGGAAGATCTGGGCGTCACGTCTTGTGTTTTGTGCTGGCTTCGGAAAAGCCATCTGCATACTATCTTCCATCTCCTGTACAAAAAACGCCAGGTCTTCCCTGATCTGAGAGCCAGCATGGCACCAGTTGGGATGCACATGAAACGTGCGCACCGGCGTTTTGAGAGCCTAATGCAGCCAGAACGCTGCCAAAAAAACCGTTGCTGCTTCTGAGGAGGGGCTGTGCCTTGCCATAACAAAAACAAGCCAACCAGGAAGGCCACAATGGGGTTTCAGGTTTACCTGGAGTCTCTAATGTATCCCTTGGTTAGTTACAGGGGATTCTATACTGCCCCCAAAAAGGTACTACATAGAAGCCTTTGGCGTCGAAACGAACCCCGCCCCACGGATTCCGTGGCGGCCCGCAACCCAAGTGGCCTTCCCCGGTAGAGGCCTGAAGAGGCCACGAGAGGCTGGAAGTCGCGCGAAACTATAGCGGGAGCATCGAAATGCAACGGAATTCGCGTGAAACCACAGCGGGAGCATCGAAAACGCAACGGATTTGCGCGAAAAACATGTTCGACCCCCTTAGACTCCTTTTCCAAACAAAACAAAATGGCAGGTTTGAGAAAAGACATTTATGAAGCCCACAGATGTTTTACCATCGCACAATCCCGCGCGTGCGTGGCACGCGCTGGTCTGCGGACTGTGCGTACACAAGCCCACCGTGAGTCGCGTAAATAAAGTTCCCAACTGGAAGTTCGTCTTGGGGGTTCAGGCCCGCTGTTGCGGATTAAGGCTTGCCTGTTCGCATCTGCATTATCTTGCTCGGGTTCTGCTGCGCTGTAACGCCTTGTAGCCTGCTGCTGCAAGAGGCGCGCTGCATGGTCACGTACGAAAACGGCTTCCGTGCGGGAGACAGGCGCTCAAAGCCTGTCGCTTCGAGCAGGAGCGCAGCAACTCCAGACCCCTTTTCCCACTTTGCAAGGACTTGGGTCAGGCAGTAAAACAGCTCGCTGCAACTTCCACACCAAGATTCTTCTGAAGTGTCTCGTGCTTCACCTTTACACACAGCCGAAGCTTCTGAACAAAAGCCTCGTCTGCAATACCAACCACGAACTGTGGAAGCCGGGCAAGGTTTGTCTGGAACTAGATTGGTTGTGACCGATCTTGACACACAAAACAACAACACAGCACCAACAGGCCTTAAGTCTTCTCTTCCTTGAAATGTACATCGAGAAGCTACATTCCGTGTGAAGTCAATTTGGCAAATGGCAGATATGGCCATTTGAGACAAAATGTTCAACGTTTTTTCGGAATACTGCTTGTCTGCAGGCTGACCAGGGCTGCCACGTGCCAACATCACCTTGAAGATGAGTTTTCTCGGTTTGAGGCAAAGCTGTCGAATTTCCCTGAACTCCTTCTATCGGTGCAGTATCTTTTGCAAGCGGCGAACACCGAACTTTCGTCAATACGTTGTTTTGCATGGGAAAAGCAACGACTGGAACTCTTTGTGTAGCAGCCTGAAGTATTACGATGAATAGCTTCGACTCTGTGAGGCTCCAGGTGGAACGTCTCGATCCCTCAGCGACACTTTATGTGATTACTGCGAGAAACGGGGACCCGCAGTGGTGGAAGTCCGGACAAAGGAAAGGGCGACAAAGAAAAGGATAAAAGGAAGCCTAAAGACAAAGGAAAAGGCGACCGCAATCCCAAAGGTGGAGGAACGTCGCATGGAGGTGGAACTCCGAGGAGCGACAACGGGGACAAGAGTCCAAAAGGCAGAGGAAAAGGCAAGGAGAAGTCGAAGAAGAAGAAGAAGAAGAAAGGAAAGGAAAAGGGCGTTACTTGGGTGAGCCCGAGTCGGAAGCAGACTCTGGGAGAAGCTATCTTGATGGCTTTCTGTGGAGGTCACTGGAGCTTCCCTACCTTTTCGATCAATTTTGCTGCCCCTCATCTTGGGTTTCAGATTCTCGAGGTTTTGGTGCAAGGCCTGAAGGCAGAAGAGGAGAAAAGAAGGGTGCAGAGTCAACATCGGTGGAAACTGCAGCTCGGAAAAGTTCAATGCTTTGAAACAAGTGTTTTTAAAAGCCTCTGACAGTGAACTGCAGGACGAGACGAGTTCAACCGTGGTGTTGATTCGTTAAGGTTGCGCGCGACGCCCAAGCCAAACCACAAAAAGTCGAATGGAATGGAAATCGCTGGGCAACTCTCAAGCCGTTCTGGCCATGATGAGAGATCAGTGTAATTGTTTTCTTTTCAATGTTAGCAAGAACTGCAAAAACATTGGTTTTTCTTTTTGAACTTTGGAGAAATCGAGAAAATGGGCCTGGGCTTGCTTGAGGAGCTCTTTTTGCCGATCCCGTTTGGCTTGATTTCGGCTTGCTCTAAGCTCTTGGCTTGGCGGACTTGCCGAACGGCGCGCTTTCTGGGTGTTGTGGACCTGTTGAAGTCAGCCTGCTTAACTGCGCATCTGGTGGTTCGCGAGCACCTCCAAAAGCGTGGACAAGAAGGAAGGCACTGTTGAGCTTGTAGACCTTCTTGCGGATGAGCGAGTTAAGGCTTACAGCCGTAGCTTCTTGGTGGTGGGTTTTCCGTGTTTTCCTTCGCTGGGTAGGATAGTAGCTTGCCGGAGCTGGTCGTCTGTACAATGCATATAGACATGATCATGACTGTGGTGGAAGTGTGCTGTTTTTCACTAACTTGTCCCGTGACATGTCTATGTAATGTTTCTCAAGCATACATGGCTGGAAATCATGCACCCTGAGTTCCGACATATCCTCAACGAGCTTGGATCTTGCCTCTCCTGCCCAGTTTGTTCTTCAAAGTTGTGTTTTCGGTTGTGGCACGTGCTGTGGTTTGCGTCTTCAAAGTGGAATTGCCAAGTCTGGTTTTGCAGGTGTGTTTTTGTTGGTTTGATCTCCGTCAGAAAGCGTGTTCCCTGACCCCTAATGCCTTCCTAAACTCCAATGCACGTCGACATACACGCAGCGCCTAGTCTCATGCCGGAAAGTTTCGTGGAGTACCCCTTGGTTCTTCACCCCCTATAAGCAATACACTTGATCACCTTGCAGTGAACAGATGTTTCGACAGTGAACAAAGGACTCAAGCACGCTCTCATTCACCTTGTCCAACCCGCAGCCATTTTTATCCGGAATGCTTAAAACGGAAACTTACATTTGTACCGTTCTTTTGCTTCGTTCGTCTAGCGACAGCTTTTGTGCTGTCCCAAATGTTTTTGATCTTCAGTCTCCAACCATGATTCTTTTCGCAACATCAAACTTTTTGTCACGCTGACTTGCATCACTTCAGTCGAAATGTCATCTTTTGCTTGCTCTTCGACGGGACCTTGTCCTTGATCCGTGTTCGCGAAAGCCAGCCTGGCAGGGTGGTTGGTGGGGTCGGCGTGTCGCCAGTTCACTCTGTTTTCAAGAAAGCTGTCATTCTCAGATCAATTTCGCTTCGTCGCATTATCAGGAAAGGGCATTCAAGGACAAGGTCAGGCAAAAACATCATGTCAATGTCGGTTGTGTTGACAAGAACGGTTGGCTTGTGCTGAGTGTGTGCTTCCGGGGGATATGTGAATGCAATGCATTTTTTTGGTCCTGGGTTTGAATTATGAGGTTGGTTACCAGTTTCCCATGTTAAGTCTAATGTCGTGTTTTGGATGCATTCTTCGTGATCTGCCCAGTAGTTTATCATTTACATAATTTTGTGCTGAGCAGAATCATTTTGGTTCAGGCGTCAACTTTCCGGGCAATGAAACCGCCATGTGCGTCGTCAGCCGCACATATGCTTGTCATCCATGTGCTTGCCTTTGGCGCCTCTCTTGTGAATAGCCAGAGCACCTCGGCAAAATGTGTCGTTTTGTGGCAGCAGCGGGCACTCAGAGTCAGTGTGGAAGGCGTGTTATTCACCATCGTTGTTCATGATTGGGTGTTTTTTGGATGAGACTTGCAAATCTGAGGCCAGACGAATTGCCTTGTGCAGCGTCGTGCAAATTCGTCCAAAATTGCTGGACATGCAATCGACATCGGACAGGACATAGTTTGACGAAGTCGGGCAGAAACCATGATCGGGACAAACACTGGGTTTTGTCAGGTGCAAATTTTTTAGAATGAGATGTCATTGCTTCCGCAGGACTCTCCTTTCTCGGAGGAGCAGAGACAATGCCAAGACCTCAGTCAGTTCAACCTTGTACCTAAAACATGAACCTGAACGCTTGAAATCAGGGTTCAACGTTTAGGCCCAAACCCTTGCATTTTTCATGGGCAAGGTGTTGTATTTCATTGTGCTCCTATATAAATCCCTATACGAATTCGAGCTGTTGAACAATGTTTGGCTCACCATTGAGATCCAAAAGGGACTCATCTAGGACAGCCCCCATGTGGCTTCTTGCGTGTGTTGGTTTGTGTGTTCTTTATTGTTTATTTTTTTAATTTCCCTCTCTCTTTCTCTCTGTCGCTATCTTTTTTGATGTTTGTTTTTGAAACTGTTATCTTCGCACATCTGAGTGAGATACCTTTACAAGGTGAAGGGTTTGCGCAGAATGGAGTTTCAGGGTTTCAAGCAAGTGTTAGGAGAAGTGCATGAGCACAGACGGCCGGATACTGGTGACAGGGTTACATTTCTTCTCCGCGCCTAGATTCCGCACTTTGGTAGGATCATGTCGTGTCGGATGCACATATCGTAATATACGAATACAACGATATGATAAAAACAAACACACGCATTTCAACATGTTGGAGTGCCTTAGCAGTGGAAAGATCCTTAAAGATGGCACATTCAGCAGGCATCCGGCAGTATGCCTCCGAGATCGACGTGGACGTACCTGGCTTCGCGGAGCGGCTTGCAAAGCGACGCTTGCTTTGTGATTCTTGGGGTGTTTTGCCGGCCAGCTTGGATCATGTCAGCGGTATGCATCTTCAACCGAGGTGGGTATATCTCAAAATGGGGGGGGATTTCTCTCCCAAACTGTTCCGATATCCCTATGTCCTTTCTGTAGGAAAACCCCAAGAAAATCTTGGGAAAACCCAATGAGGGTTAGCCACCCATGCCTTAAGCCCTGCACTTTGAAGGAGCAGGAACTGTAAATGCCTGACTCTGCCCCCAAAAGCCAGCAGCCCAAATGCTCTTTGGGTCAGAAGCCTTGTGCATCACGACTTGCCAAGGCCTGTTTGGGGATCGGCGGTAGGATTTGCGTGTTCTTTCGGGAGTAGGCTTTTCCGATGCGCGCTGACTTCATTGAGTGCACCCTAACCTAAAAAACTCCAAATTCTAAATCTTAAGCCCCTCACCCAGGCAGGTTTGGCGGTGTGGGAGTGCCAACCGCCAACGACTCTGTCATCTTGGGTGCTGGATTTGGCCTCTCGGCTTCAGGCGAGCCCCAAAAAACAGTAAGGCCGGAGATATATATTGCAGTGTCTCAAGGGCGGCTTTGAAGTAGGTGAAGAGTCCAAGCGCGCCCGTCCTTTTGATCCCCTGGTTTTACCCTTGAATCAGGGGAGATGTATAGGATGCCTACTTCCCAAACTCCCTTCTAAGAGCCTGTGAGTTTTGGTTTTCGGCGTTGAGATCCGCACCTTCCAGATTCTTGAGCGCCAGCCTTCAATCAGATGACACGGGATTCCGATTTTAAGATTTAGGGTTTAGGGTTTAGGGTTTAGGGTCAAAAGTGATGAGGACTTTGGTGTGACCTTCCGCAGTGTTGGGACCCTCGTCGAGAAGCCTTCAAACCCTTGCGCCACCCATATGGTTGTTTGCGAAAATGCGGGACCCCCAATATGTTATAATTAGGACTCAGAATCCCCCATATTGGTGATGCATTGATGTGAAGATCCAGTCAGAAGATTGGAAACGATGTTGTAGGAAGCAGGAGCCTTCAACATCTTAGTTGTAGGAGACAGGAGCCTTCACGAGTTAGATTGGGTTGAAGCCTTGGGGCTTAGGGCTTCGGGCCGAGGGTTGGGCTTAAGGCCTTGGCATTCGGGGTTTCAAGCTGGTTTAGGGCTTCTAAACCTGAAGTCGCACGGCCCTCAAGTGCGCCGTTTTCTCGAGTCTCCATGTCAGAGTCTTGCCGGAGCTACCATGAATGCCAAGGCTTAGGGTTGAGTGGTTCAGGGATGAGGGTTTTAGGGGTACAAGATTGAGGGTTTCAGGGTTCTTGACGCAAAGCTTGGGCCTAGGCACCACGGCCACACGCTCCCTGTTTACGTTCGCGGCACAACTGGGCCGGCGGGTCCATCACTGGGAGGCAGGTCCTGAACCTTGGCACACCAAGCTGATGCTGTTGTTTGCGCTACATTCACCACCCTATACTTCCAGGGACCTGATAGTCGGGCGACTAGAACCCTCAAGAACTCAATTATTAAGTCCCTGGAAGTATAGGGATATCGCTACACGCGGTACTCCAAAGAAATTTCGCAAGACGAGAGTGCCCGAGTTCCTATCTCCGGAAGAAGTCATCCTCAGCCTTACTTCAGAATCATGAAACCAGAATGATTACTGGGATCGAACCACCTCCCCACCTCACAAACTCCCATTTTGCAGTGTATGATACCATACATCATCCTGAGGGAGTCCGGGTCAGGGCTTTGGATTTCGGATTGGGTGCTTGGGCATCTCGGGCCGAGGGGTCCTGGGATGTGGTCTTCTTGGCTCGAAGCAGGCCAGTGGCTTATGGGTTGTGGAGTTGAACTGGTTTCGGGCTCGGCCTTAGGTGTCAGCGAGCCCCTCGTCTACAACCAGCGGTGTTCAGAGACAAATGACAAGCTATGGAGTTCCAAAGGGGCTCCTGTTTCATTGCGGGCGCCCACAGCCACACTTGCCCCACGTGCCCCACTTGCTTTTCCGGAAGTGCAGGCTCTGACCCCACCACAAGACTCAAACCAGGCAGTCTTTGAGGCAGACTTGTGGCTAGGGTCAGGGCCGCACCGCTGTGAACATGAGGCAAGTGGGGCAAGTAGGGCAAGTTGGGCAACTGCGGCCAGCGGGGCAACTGGGGCAAGTGGCACAAGTGGCACAAGTGCCTGTCTTTGAGGCAGACTTGTGGCTTCAGCCAGAGCCCCACCATGGGTCCCCACTTTCCTTTCCGATGGCCCCCTCCCCCATTTTCTCCCACATTGTCCCCAAACCAACCTGTCTTTGAGGAAGACTTGTGGCTGGAGCCAGAGCCGCACCATGGGTCCTCTTCCAGAGTATTTGGTTGGGATGTTCCAAAACACAAGTCTGCCTCAAATACGGCCTCAAATCGGGCAGACTTGTGGTTGGCCCACCACTGTCATTTGGGCGCTTGCCCGATTTGCCGCATATTTGCCCCACTTGCCCCACTTGCCCTGCTCCACCCGGCTCCACCCCGCTCCACCCCGCTTGCCCTGCTTCCCCACTTTCCCCACCTGCCCCAAGCTTCAGCGCGGGTCACGGGAGGGGGGGGGGGAAAGCGGGTGCAAGTGGGGCAAGTGGGGCAAGCGGGGCAAGCGGGGCAAGCGGGGCAAGTGGCAGAAAACAGTTCGCGAACCACTTTTGCACGCCCACTGTACTGTTTTGAGACAGTCATCCCTAGCACCCTACACCCGAAGCCCGAAACCCTAAACCCCAAACCCTAAACCCTAAACCCTAAAACCCTAAACCCTAAACCCTAAACCCTAAACCCTAAACCCTAAACCCTAAACCCTAAACCCTAAACCCTAAACCCTAAACCACATTAAACAGCCACCCCACAGCCGCAAGGCTCGCAAAGCCTAACGAACTAAGACTCTGCAACCGCTACCTTGTTGGGGGTCCTGATTTTTCAGGGAATCCGACTATTTGGGGTCTCTATACTAGGGGTCCCTTACTTTCCTAAAACCCCATTTTTGGGGGCTCTCTACCTTTTGGCCTTAAAGCCCTGAACAAGAGCTGAGGATCCGCCTGAGTTCTGGGCCCGGCTGAATGACCTAGTGAGCTTGAAGCACCACGACCTGATTCCTGGATTCCTTGACAGTTCAAGGGGGGACTTTGGGGGGTAGGGTTTGGGGTTTGGGGTTTGGGGTTTGGGGTTTGGGGTTTAGGGGTTTAGGGGTTTAGGGGTTTAGGGTTTGGGGTTTGGGGTTTGAGGTTTAGGGGTTTAGGGGTTTAGGGGTTTGGGGTTTGGGGTTTGGGGTCCCAAAGCGGGGGGCAGGAGGGCCCGGGGGCCCAGGTCTCCCCCTTAAACATCCCTAAACCATAGGGCGGAGTCTCTCCCTCGGACTTTGCAGAGCCTGAAGGTTTGTTTAGGGCTTCGCGCGTAGGGTTTGGTGTGCAGGGTTTAGTGTTTGCGCTTAATCTCATATACAACAGGCAAATATAAGTATGAATGTACATACATGTGAGTATGACTATAAATACACATATAGACAGTTGAATATATACGTATACATGCACTTCTTTCATAGATGTATATGTACGAAAGACATATGGTGGTGGGCACGTCCTCATGCAGGTAACAGCCATCATGTAGTGTCGAGGGTTCAGAGCGATCAGAAAAGCAGGTAAGGCTTGCCTTGATCATTTTGGGGGGCGGGGAGAGGTGCGCAGAACCATGAAGCGCCAAGACGTGCAGGTTTAGGTGGCTTTGGATGAGGTGCGCAATGGCGACCCAATCCCAACCGGAGAGTTTCGGACTGCGGAAGTGTGGCATGTCATATCGCCCTGAACTCTGGAACTTGAACAGTGAACGGTAGTCTTGCACGTCATTCTAGGCCAAGTCCTCCTGCCTTTGAGCTTGACATCCTCAGTGATTTGCATTGAGCTGCAGGCACCAGCAGGGCGTCGCAGGCTGTGTGGAAGCACTGAACGGAGTGAACTTTTCCCAAGCGATGGCTGTTGGAGACAAGCCTTCATTGGGGGTTTTGGGCTTCGGGCCTACTGACATTCAATTCTAGGATACTCCAGAGCCAGAGCCATCGCAGATCTTATGCAGTGTGCTGTGTAAAAGGTTTCCAAGTGGCAGAACCCTCTGGGTGCTTACCAAACCGGATGCCGGTGTAGGCTCTAGGGTTTATCACGCCCAAAACCTGGTTTTTGGGCATGGGTTCTAGGGTTGTGATTGGAGATTCTAGTGGTGACAGCAGCAACAATGCCTGAAAGCCGCGACCGAGTTATTTCCTAGCAATTTGGGGGTCAGAGTTTTGTGTTTAGGACGCCTGACACTGCCAGAGGCAAAGGCTGGGTGACTTGTGCTGGTTGCAGGGAAGGGGGCAGATATCTGAGGACATGACATGCTGCTGGATACTCCGCTAGCAGAACACTTCCTGGACTTCTATGCAGTCGCGCCCTTTTCCAAGGTTTCTGGGCTTTCTTTGGACAGCACGAAACCCTAAGAAGGAGGTGGAGCGGCAAAGCACAACAGAGCCCCCCAAAAACGCAAAGCTTCAAAACACCCGAACCTCTCCGCGCGGTCGGTCCCACCACATTTCTCGCTTCAGAGCCCTCAATTTTTCTATTTAAGCCCTCAAAACATGCTGGACCCTAAACCCTTAAGGGGTCTGAGGATCGGGCAAGGAGTTTAAGAAGTTTCGGGTCCGAGTGGTTGAATATGCCTCTTCCCTAATTGCAAGAAAACATTCCAAATCCTCCTTCGCTACAATGACACCGATCAGGTTCTTATTATTCGCAGAGCTGGGGGGTTGTTTGTCTCAGGGGAGGAGATTTGAGTCCTTCTTCGGATTGGGCTTTGGGATGCAGCCTCCTGCCAAGGGCTTGTTGACATGAAATGCCCAAAGCCCTCAAACGAAACCTAAGCCCTAAACCCTGTCCAGTGGGTCGTGGTGAGCTCTGAGACTTGTTGAAGCTTGGGCCAGATATAGCTCTGAGTGTCACAACATTTTGAGCAGTTCCCACGGTTAGGACCTCTTGAGAGGTACCATAACAATGAGGCCCATACGTTAATAGGTACCCACAACGGATACCGACCACTGGTACGGATGACAAGATAGGGGCAGTTCCTTAATTCCCGGTCCCTCGTTATGCCCGGAGCAACGGGATGCACGTCCCAAACCCTAAACCTAAACCCTGAGTGCATGATGACGTGGATGGGATCATCATTGCGAGAACCCTACATCTGAGCTTTGATCTCGAGGGGTTTGCTTGGTAGTCTTTTTTGAATAAACTTTTTCAACAGCACAGATCAAAGCCTAATTGCAAAACCTTCAGTCCGCCCTGAGCCCTGACTCCAAACTTTCTGCCTTCCACAAGCAGGTGGTCTTGACCACGCGCGGTGCTGCAGACTGGGTCAAGTCCCGCATACAGTTGCAGGATTGCGCTTGGTTTCGCATTGTTCAGTCACAAGCACCCAGCACATTGCATGGCTTTAACATCCCAATCCGATGCAAAGGTAAGCCTCTTCTGAAGCCTTGGTCCACTTCAAAGCCCAAGCCCTCCAGAGCCACCAAAACCTGAAGCCCCAAAGCCCCGTAACCCCAAACTCATTCGTCTTTGTTTGGTCACCCTGAGTTCTCCTCAAGCCAGGTCCCTAGAATTAGGGGTTAAAGGGTTTAAGGCCTACGCCCGTACAATGCTCCCAGCATGTCAGAACCCTCGGCTCCCAAGCACAGCAAGGTTTGACAGAACGCTAGCCGCGCCGATGCACAGTCCCTGCGGTCTGAGCTTTGCCCCCAAAAAGGGAGGTTCGGGGGTGCTTGCGGGGGGGAGGGGGGAGGTGACAGGTGCCAGGGGGCCTGGGATGCGAGGTTGACGTTGAGGGCTTAGGATGTTTCAGGGTACTTCCTTTAAGAGTGAGAGGCTGCGGAAGAGTCGGGAGCGAAACAATAAGGACCCTGGATGAGATCAACGCCGACGTGGCCACGCGCCTCTATGAGGCTTGGGGTGGCTCTCAACGAAAACCCCGTGAGACCCCATGAAGGTGTCTAACCCAGGCTGGCTTGAGGGTACTCTCTCTTGCTGGTTTGGGGGGGCGGGCTCGTGGAGACTCGGGTGGTGCAATGAAGCTCGGATTGAGGGGCCCGGCTTGTTGAACTGTTGCTGAAGCCCTAATGACGTCAACGGAAGGGCAGAGATGGCGGCAGGGACCAAGCTGTAAGGCAGAGAGCACCCGTGCCGTCGTCCACCACCACCACCACCACCACCACCACCACCACCACCACCACCACCACCACCACCACCACCACCACCACCACCACCACCACCACCACCACCACCACCACCATGAAGGTGTCAAACCTCCACCCTAAACATCCCTAAACCCTAAACTATAAGGATTCAGCCCTAAGTACCCGTACTGGGGTTGTAGGCTCCTGGGTTGAGCCTTCTGGTTCTGGTTCGTTTGAATCAAGTTACCACCACCACTTTGCTACATATGCCTATTCTGGCCAGCACAATGTGAGAGATGCAGCGGTTGCCAGGCAACCTTCAGACACCTTGCTCGCTAAGGCCTACTGGGTCCCAGCTCCGTGAGCCTTGAGGCCCTAGGCCTTTAAGCCCTAAGCCCGATAGCCCAAAACCGTAACCCTAAACCCTAAACCCTAAACCCTAAACCCTAAACCCTAAACCCTGAACCCTGAACCCTAAACCCTAAAAAAGTTCCGAGAGCCGCGGTTTGGAAGAGTTCCTCCAGGCACACGAGCGCCTGGTGCACTGCATGGTTCCGGCGGAGAAGCTGATGGAGACCTTGCTAAACCCAATAGACCTAGGGTTTAGGGCTTAGTTTAGGGTTTAGGGCTTAGGGTTTCGGATTTCGGGTTTGGGGTTTCGGGTTTTTCGCTCGAGCCACGGAACCTGTTGGGCAATGTTGGGCATTGTTGGCCCAGAACCGCTAGGGTTCAGACTCAGTCATGGGAGCCCCATTGCCGCCTCAAAAATGAGACCCTGCAGCCGCAGCCCCAAAACCCCGTGACCCCGTAACCCCATAAGCCTTCGACCCTGCAGTAGCTTTATAAGAAACCCGATATCCCTGTTCAGCTGCCTTGTTTGCCCACGCTTATCTGCCTAGAATCCTGTTGCCCTGAACCAGGAGATCAACGTGTTCGACTCTCCTGTTGACGTGCCGGCGTTGATGAGCTTCCTGGGCCTCTCGGCCTGCTTTTCGGGAACTGGGCTTGAAGGATTTGGAGGTAGGGGGGGGGGGCGCGGGTATGGGGGGGGGTCCTTGCGGCACACGTAGGATGCGCACGACTGCACCCATGCCGGGAAGGTAGGAACTGGGAAAGGGGGTGGACATGGGATATGCTCCGCCCCCGCACCTCCACACTAACCCGACCCTAACGCTAACGCGCGGCGCTTCGGGCGCTCGGCTGGGGTAACGGAGAAAAAGCATGGTTTCTGAGTTGCCTTCCCTCACGGCTCAGTCTTGAGCCTGGCATGGCAGGCTCAGAAATACTCAGCCCGAGTCAAATTTCAAACCTAGGATTTACCTCTTAAACCAGTTCTATACCCTTCTTATTAGACCCGTAACCTTAAACCCTAAACTAAAAGCCCTAAATCCAAAGCCTTGAGCCCAAGCCCGTAGGCTGGCGCAGTCGAGGGCTCAGCGAGAGCATGTTAGGTTGCTCTGTCCTGCAGGCACACCCCTGAAGGTCACCGAACTGAAGTGGCCTAGCCTTCTTTGTCGCCGGGTGTTTTCTGTCATGAAGGGTTCTTGGACGCCTCCTGAGGGCCCGGCAGGCCTGCAGCTTGGCATGTTTATGCCAACAGCTTTCGCCAAGCAACCTGTAACAACTTGGCGCCGAAGACGTCCCGAAGCGCAAGGCCGAATTGGTGCTTCGGAAGCTTCGATTGTCTATCACAAGGCATCTCTGCGGCGACAAGTCTTTCGCAGCTTTGATGAACATCCGAGCCGAAAAGGAAAAACAATGAGAAGATCCTCCGGCCGAAGACTTCGCCTTGCGCAAAACCTGAAATGTCGTTCTTTCTGGCAACAGGTTTTTTGCCATGCACCTTGGCAACTTTTGCCCTGGAGAGAATGAAAGCAACAATCAGAAGGCCCTCCAATCTAAGATGTCCCCCAGAAAAAAAGTCCCCCCAGTGCAAAAATTGGGTTGGGCTGGCCCCGGTTGGTGTCGTTGCCACACCCTAATCCCGCAAGACCTTGAACCCTAAACCCTAAACCCTAAACCTGAAACCCCAAACCCAGCCCAGGCTGGCCAGAGCCGCAGTTCGCGCCGCTGTATCCTCGCATCGGGGAAGTGGAGGCGGGCTCCAGCCGCTACGAAGAGGAGGACCCTTGTTGCTAGGGCTTAGGGTTTAGGGTTTAGGGTTTAGAGTTTAGGGTTTAGGGTTGCATGTTCTGGGGAGGCTGCGGCACAAGGCAGTATGGGCCTCCTTAGCTCGGATCACCCCTCTTTTGATTGCGAACTGCTTCCGTCTGGCCTCACTTTCTAGATTGCGGAGCGCCTCTCTGCCGTCTTCATGCAGAGGGGAGATTATCTTCATGTCTTGGATTGCGTTCCTGTCGTGGATTGCTTCTATGATGCCTCTATGCCATCTTCAAGCAGATGGCAGATTTTCTTTATGTTTGTGGAAGAAAAGTCTATGTCGTGGATTCCCTTTCTGGCACTTCTACTTCTCTGGCAGTACCTTCTTTGGGTCGTATCTTTCGCTTTGGCGTTGTCAATCAGCAGATCAAGGTTCATCAGGACGTTGCCGAACTCTTGGGGAGGCTTGCCTCCAACTTAATCTGGATCACTGGAGGTCTTATGCGGGTCCTATTGCTTACACCATCCGTAGGAGTGTCCTGAAATTGTTGCTTCGTTGCCTTGCGACCCCGTGCCCCCAAATCGTTTTCCTTTCACATTCGTGAAAGTGCATCAAGTGCAAAGCAAAGGCCCCCGCATGTGTCACGAACGCTCCGGCAAACCCTGCTTTTTTGTGTGTTCACAGCGGTTCTGGGTAGGCTCAGCTTCCAGAATTTCAGGATTGGCGCTGTTCGGGTTTGTTCTCGGAAGACTTGTGTTAGCCCTGCAGGAGAACTACCTCATCTGCATTACTGGTCAGATACGCCGATTGGAGCTCAAGACGAAGGACCCATCCAAACCCAAAGTCTTTCAGCCGACTCCCTGTAGGTAGAGGGCGTGTGCAGGGCATATAGGCTTTATATGGTTCAACCTGATCATTGGGGATGAGCACCCTGAATCCCACAGCTTCCCAAGTTCGTATGTTGAAGTCTGGATACTCTTTATCCCATTTTCAAAAACCCTACCAAGTGGTCAGAGTGGTCAGGAGGTCTAGGGTTCGTGTGGATAGTGGGAATGCAAGGATGGCGAGCTTTTGACAGTTGGGAACTGGAATTTCCCCGAAATCCAGAGGTCTGTGGTCTGTGGAGGGTATAGGGCGGATGGGCCGTTGTTGTGCTTTCACTGTCACTTCATATCTCAAGTTCATTTCCCAAACTTAGTGCCCTAGGCAGGCACTCCATCTTGGTCTGGCTCTTATGTCGCTCTTACGGTTTTGTTTCAACCGTATATACTTGAATGTGCAGGCTTGACCACCCCGTCTTCCTTCCTTTCAAAAAGGACTTCCCGCTCCCACAGAAGCCGAACTCGAAAAGACCCCAGACTCCACGGGGGCCTCAACTGCGGCTCAAAGTTTCGCAACAGGTCGAGAACCTCTTCCTTCCCCTCGCAGCAGCGGGCTATAATGTCCTGGTCGCGCTGGTGGCTTGTCGCGATTTGCTCTTCGAGTTTTGAGGGTTCTGAAGCTAGAATCGGTTTCGGATACCTTCATAAAGACAAGCTACACAACAATTGAAGGTGCCATGAGCTCCCAGCCCACAACTGCCCTGGGCTAAAGTCGAGCTCAGGGATGGTGACGATCGCGCAAGGACCCAAAAGCCCCAAGCCTGGGACAACTCCAGGTGCCTGGTTGGTTTAGGGTTTAGGGTTTAGGGTTTGGGGTTTAGGGTTTAGGGTTTAGGGTTTAGGGTCTGGGCAAGTGCCCGAGGAAGCCTGGTGAAATCCAAACGTTTTAGAAGAAGCCAAGAGGGCGCTCTCTCAACGTGATCCCGGGAGTTGACTGCTCCGCACGGCCTGGGTCCTGCACAACAGCGTTTTCACCTCATGACCCCCCCCCTAAACCCTAAACCCTACATGAAAGGCCTTCGATTTTCATGTTTGGGCTTCTTCAGTTCCATAGCTGCAAATCAAGCTCTTGCAGGGTTTTCCGTTTTGTTTTCGTGTTTTTTTGGGTTGGAGGGGTGCAGTTTGGGAATCCCGAACAGATGCAACGCTCCTACAGGTGGGGGAAGCAGCTGGGAGGAGTGACTTCATCCGCTGACTCTTCATCTCAAGGTTAATCTAAAGGCCAAAGAGTTTAGGGATGAGGACTTAGGGCCTTAGGGTTTAGGGTTTAGGGTGGCCATCTGCACTTCTTTCCGTGCCCGATGACGCTGAGGTCCTAGATCCACGGCAGGAGCCGAAGTACATCAATCGCCCAGCAGGAGCCGGATCAGCAAACTGCCGCTATGATCACACGCACAATTTAGGAACACCCAAAACCCCCTACTTTCCACAATTTCTAGCCTCCCAAGGCCAACGCTTAAAGTCAGAACGACTTGACTCCCGGTTTCTTCGTTTCTTCTTCGGGGGCCAACGCTGACAGCCGTTGCCTAAAGACCTGCAGGCACCGAACAGCCTGGAGAATGCAGCTGGTAGCACGCTCCCCTTCCCTCCCCGATCACGTAAGCAAAGGATGACTGGAATGTCGGCGTTACATCAGGTATTCGGAGGGACCTAAGTGCTGTGGTACTGTACTTGCAGTTCTTGCATACATGGACTGCTAGGGAAGACCTTCGAACCTAGAAGCAAAAATGTGCTAGTTTCATTCTCTAAATTAGGTCCCTTTTTGGGATCCTTTTTTCAAGCGTGCCGCCTTTTAAGGGGTACCCAAAAAGGGAACCTAATTTAGGAAAGTATACCCATGATAGATGTACAGGTGTACAAGTGAAGGCACAAACTACACACGTCTCTGGCATCAAATCTACAGATGTATGTCTAAATATTCTTGGAGGCCGGTGCAACAGTAACAGTCGGAGTCCTCCGTGTTGAATCCCGATCTTCTAGCCGTCCTTTGCGCCTCCGATCCAGGAGAGTGGCATGAGGACTACCAGGTGACTGCGCTGATTTAGGATTTCACTAACCATCTTGGGCGCCTCAGAATTCTGTTTTCCCTTCCCTTACCCAATTCCCTTCCCACATTCGACCTGAGACCTTAAACCCTAACCCCGAATCTCCGCACCAGTTCCCCTACGTGATTTTGACAGGTCCTGATGCCTCAGCTTCAATCTCGTGAAACCAAGCTCAGCAACCCTGGGCCCGCATGGTCCCTGAGGTGACGGATGGCAACTTCACCACACTCGCGCAAGCTGCGGAGATGTTGCGCGACGAGTAGATGAAGTTCAGGTTTGAGAATTGGGCTTCGGGCTTTGGGGATGTTGGAGCATCCCTGAATGCCGAAGACCCCAAACCTTGGACCCTAAACCGGACCCTGTGTCCTTCGATCCCAGTTCCACCCTACAAGAATCTCCAAAGTCTTGAAAACCTTGAAACCCGCAAACACGGACCCTACCTAGCGATCCCGCAACACTCAATCCACGAAAGAAGACGTGAACGATGCTGCATAATCCATCTTGAGTTTCCCCCAATTGTCTGACAATCTTAACCGACTTTGGATTTTCTGATGGGCAGCTATATTGTTGGGCAGACATTGCCACAGAGTTCATCAACTTCTATTCTAGAGATCCACCAGTTTGTTTGAGTCCAGGTTGCATTACGCCTGCATGTGTTCATTCCTTTTGTGTCTTTCATTCGTGAAGTTTTGTTTCGTTCATTACTTCGTTTCGTTCTTCAGCTCATGTGGAAAGACATGAAAGAGTAAGCGAAGCCGTTCGGAAAAACAGACTAAGTAAGCGAACGCACGGCACCTGTTCGTGAACCAAACATCTGTAGAAGTGGATTGTATGCCTTAGGAAGTTCAGCTGTTCTTTTCATCAACGTGTTCTTTCTAGTGATATAAGGATCTGCTTCGTGCACATGAACACAGACGTACACGAACACAGGCGTATTGTGCTTCTTACTGTGTTCTGTGTGTGTTAGAAAGCGCTCGAGCTAAAGTCTTCCTAATCTGGTTGCGGGTTTAGAAAGTATTCCTCATAGAAGACCTCGTGCTTGCAGGTTTCCTTTGTTCAGGCACGTCATATTCTGATTATGACCAAGCAGAATGTGCCAAACGCACGAGTGTTTTGTCCTCGTGTTTGTTGCTGTAGTGTAACTTTTCGGCTCAATTCCGAGTTCCTTTGAAGTCCTAAAGCCCGAAAGCCCCAACCCCCACCCCATTCCCTAAACCCTGAACCCTACGCCCCAAACCCCAAGCCCAAAAGCCAAAGCCCTGAACCCCAAACTCTAAACCCCAAACCCTAAACCCCAAACCCCAAACCCTGAACCCTGAACCCCAAACCCCAAACCCCTGAACCCCAAACCCCAAACCCCCAATCCCCCAAACCCCCAAACCCCCCCCAAACCCCCAAGCCCCCAAGCCCCCAAACCCCAAACCCCCAACCCCAAACCCCCAAACCCCAAACCCCAAACCCCAAACCCCAAACCCCAAACCCCCAACCCCCAAACCCCCAAACCCCCAAACCCCCAAACCCCCAAACCCCAAACCCTAAACCCTAAACCCTAAACCCTAAAACCTAACCCTAGGGGTTTAGAGTCTAGGGGGTTGGGGGGGTTCTGGGTAACCCTGAACCCTGAACCCAGGCTGCCGAAGTCCATCAACCTGATTGCCGACCCCTTCATCCCGCACGACTATCCCGTGGACGAGCGATACGTCGAGGATCTGTGCCTAAGATGCAAGGGTTTTTATGGGTTTTGCGGTTTTGGGTTTTGCAGGGTTTAGGGTTTAGGGTTTAGGGTTTAGGGTTTAGGGTTTAGGGTTTAGGGTTTAGGGTTTAGGGTTTAGGGTTTAGGGTTTAGGGTTTAGGGCCAAGTCTAGCGTTTCTGGTTGAGGGGCTTAGCGTTTTCAGCTTCTTGGGCTTAGGGCAGTGGCATCCCAAGGTTGGGGGCTTTTGTTTTGGTGTGCTTTTTTTGGAGATCTTGTGCTGCACACATGCCGGAAGTACCCAGGATAGTTTGCCCGGATTTTGGGTAGTTAGGGTGGGCGTAGTATGCGGGTTTGGGGTTTGGGGCCCTTTGCATCCCAAGATTCCCCCGCAACCTTACCCAGCCCAGTACCCCTTCTTATGAAGGAATATGCCTGGATGAACCCCTCCCCCCCCCCAGACGCTAAACCCTAAACCCTAAACCCCATATGGATATGTTTTGAGGTATATTCCTTAAACCCATATATACTTTAAACCCAAAGGAACCGGACTATCTTGGCGAGGCCACCACCCTAAACCCTAATCCCTAATCCCTAAACCCTAAACCCTAAACCCTAAACCCTAAACCCTTCAGGTATCAGACCATGCCATGGAAAGGCCGGGACATGGCCCGAAGCAGAGGGCAGTCCCACATGCGGCAGTGCTTTGGCTGAGCTGCCCTCAACTCCCCAAACCCTAAACCCTAAACCCTAAACCCTAGACCCTAAATCCTAAACCCTGAACCCTAAACCCTAAACCCTAAACCCTAAACTCTAATCCCTAGCCCTAAACCCGAAACCCCAAACCCCAAATCCCAAACCCTGAACCCTGAATCCTTTGAGCGGTTGGGTCGTGAGTTCTGCCAGTTACAGGATGGAAGCTCTAGATTCAAGGGGTTTCGCGCTCAAAGGAGGTTTAGGATTGCGTTTAGGGGTTGTTCAGGGCGTACCTAAGAGGTGTGTAGGCTCCCGTCCGTTTTGCATAGAGGGCACAGAGCGGGTCATCCCTCAACAAGGGCGTTTCTGATTCCGGACAGTGAAGACCCGGACCCGAAGCCCTAATCTTGGAAGACCCGTTCGCGGCAATGGTCAAACTCGGACATCCAGGCGTATTTGAGGGCTTTGGGGAATGATGACCATTCTGCCTCCCTAGCGGATATAAAGCTCCGTACCCAACCGAATATTGAAAAAAGGGTCGCTAGCTGCAAGCACAAACAATGCCGGGTAGCACTCAGCAAAACATAGAAGTCCCTGAGCAAACCCGAACTCCGGGAAGACGCCTCCGAAAACCCTAAATGTCGACTTCGACAAACCCTCAACCCTGAGCCCTGTACTAAGCCCGAGAACCGAGGTGGGAGACCTTGCACCGCTGTTCTCAGCTTCCCTGGGGTCCTGGGAAGCACATGATGAGACTTCGCGCCTCGGGGTGACTACGATGTGTTCTCAAGATTTAGGGTCGAGGGTTTAGGGTTTAGGGTTGAGGGTTTAGGGTTTAGGGTTTAGGGCTTAGGGTTTAAGCCCAGGTCTTTTACTGGCTCGGCTGAGGTTTGCAGAGTTGCTGTGGTTGTTCAAAGTCTATCTGTTCTTTTTTGGGGGTTCCTTCGTTCTTGTAGAATGTATGTATTTTTGAGGAACCTCAAGAAGGGGCTTCTAGAGGAATCGAGATGTTTCCTGCCGTGTTCCTTGTCTCCGAGTTTAGGCTCAGCTAGTTCTTTGGGGCTGGAGGTCATGGGGTGATGCCGCGGGATTGCTCCACCCTAAACCCTAAACCCTAAACCCTACACCCTTTATCGATGTAGGGGGTTCTTTGCAAATGACAAAAGTTTACCAAGAACAACCATTGATCAAGGCATAACGCAGGAGCCAAGATACCCAAAACGCTAACATGAATGAAGGCATATTCCCGAGTTGAATGGTATTGGGCACTGGAGAAAATGAAGGTTTTTTGTCTTTGGTTCGAGAGGTTTACGGGTTTAGGGTTCCAAGGTTTGTGATCCTGTCGTTGGCCGGCACCACTATGAGTGCCAATCTTCAACCCGTATGAGGGTGGATGCGAATGACGATCCGCGGGGTCGGTGATTCCGACTGCTGCGCGAATTCCTGTCTGAGGCTGGATACTTTACCCCACAAGGACCCACGACTGTCTTGCTGAGCATGCCCCGCCTTGAGCAGAGATCTCTTGGGAGAGGGAATGCTTGAGTCGTGGTGCGGACGGGTGTGCTTGAACCTTGCAGAATGCCTTTCCCTGAAAGCGGTAGGAAATTGACAATGATGCCTGTGGAGGCTGCCAAAGGCAGGAGGGAGAGGCCTGACCCTTTGCATGGCTGTCACACCCCTGCCTCTATCCATCCATGATCCTTTCTGCCCTGCTCTGCTGGCCTTCGGTTGCTCTTTTTCTCCAACAACCCACAGGAAGATGGAAATTCTATGAAATTCTGTAAAACCCCTAAACCCTAAACCTCGGGATGTTCCCCCCCTAGACTAACAGTCCTTAATAGGGATTAGAATAGGGGGTTACTATCGTCACCATTAAGGACTGGTAGTATAAGGGGGAACATCCTAAACCTTCCATCTCCAAGAAGAGTCCAGCTTTAGAGCACCAAAGGAGATGACGATGTCGTCATGGAACCCTTCGTTCCCCCGAGCATGCTGGAGGAGAACACGTGCCGGCGCAGCAGTTGTAAGCACCTAGGTGGTTGATAAAAAACCAACAACCTAAAACCCTGTAGACTCCAAACTCTAGACCCCGCAATCCCCAGACCCCTTGACCCTACTTCTCCAAACCCTCAAAACCCCAAAACCTTAAACCCTAAGCTCCTTAGACCCTAAACCATAAACCCTAAACCCTAAACTCTAAACCCTAAACCCTAAATCCTAAACCCTCCCAGAAAGCTTCAGGCTCTATGTGCCGAAGTGCAACCCCTGCTATGGCGTGAACGACAAGTTTGCCCTCGCAGTCGGCCGAGGACCAAGGGCTTTGAATTCAGGGCTTCGGGTGTTTTGGGATTTGAGGTTTCCTTGCTGGGCTTTTTTTTTCCACCACGTCCAAGGATTTTTTCCCTAAGCAATACACCCCCTGAGTGTTGAACGAACCCTGGGTTGGGGGTTTAGGCTTGCTGCTTGTGTCCCTGAACCCTACATTCCGACACCTCAAACCCAAGCCCTGAAGTGCCTCAAACTCAGAGTGGGAGGTGGGGAATCAGCTCGAGATGCAGGGTCATGCAAGCTGCCCCTCAAGTGGTGTAGGGTTGCACGTGCAGCCCGAGGCCCTAAAATCCCTAAGCCTTGAACCCTACACCCGAAACCCCAAAACCTGAACCCTGAACCTTGACCCCCCCCAACCCCCTCCGCCACTAGTTGGAATCTTCAAGCCTGCGTTGAAGATTTCAGGAACGGCGCAGGCTTACCTCACACTTCCGTTGTGGCTTGGTCACGAATGCTGTGAAGAGGTTCAGGGTTAAGGGCTTTTTGTTTATTGTTTAGGGTGTAGGGCTTCGGGGCACTTGAAGGCAGTTGGCAGTTGCATCAACCTCAAGCCCAGACTCTCGTACTTCCCCTTAAACCCATACCCTCTCAACCCTACACCGCAGCGGACCCAAGAAACTGCCCCGCAGCAGCTGCTTTGAGGCAGACGGTGCGCTGGGACTTCGATCGACTACAGAAGCAGCTGCAGGGACGAGAGCCACACAGATCTCCCGAACAGGTGCTGGAGGAGGGTTTCAGGTTTAGGGGATGACGAGCTCGAAACCCCAAACCCTCAACCCTAAACCCTAAAGCCCCAAACCCCCCAGATTCCCGCCCGCTTCGCAAACCCTGAATCTGCGAATGGTGGTGTCCGCAGTTGGTTGCTTTTGGCGTTTCCGGCCTCACTATGAGCCACAGCGATTCGGGCCCAGTGGCTGTACAGCTATGAGTTTATCGGTTCGGGGGGGTTATGGTCGGAAAGCCACAGAGGCAAGAACAGCGAGGCCTTCATATGGCCTTACGGAGCACCAAGAGTCCGGGCAAACCACCGTTTTGGGGGGTTCTTGGGGTTCTTGTACCCCTTAAAGATGTTCGGGGGATGCCTTCCTGGCTTTTTGGTTTTCAAGGAAGGCTTGAGCTTCTGTGGTCCAGGTGCTGGACACAGTGCTGAACATGAGCGGGGTTGCTGTAAAGCACCTCAGCCGCAAGATGCTCTGAAGTTGGCCATCTGCAAACTCGACTGGTGGTATTCACTCAAAGGTTGCACAAAAGCCGTATGACGTGTCCGAGCCGGTGCACCGGTGCAGAGGAACCCTAAACCCTAAACCCTGAATCCTAAAGCACCGGCGTAGAGGAAGAAAGGCATGTCGGCTCTTGCTTTGGAAGAGGTTGCTGGAGAAAGATGAGCTCCCCATCTTGCCGGCAAAGAACATGCGAAAGGACAACGTAACCTACCTTTGCTACTTTGTGCCGTGGCCGCAGCACACTGCAGTGGCCCTCAGAATTCGGACCCAGGGCTTTTGGATTTCGGTTTGGGAGACCCAATCCCTCAACCCTCACTCACCCGTAGGCCCTGAAAGAAGGGAGCCATCTTGTGGCATTTCTGGGACTCTCCTGAGGCCGCCCCATCCCCACGCACTCGCAAGCCCTGTCCCCAGTACCATGAAAAAAACCGACTCCCAAGAAACACCCCTGGGAAACTCCCAAAGAAGAACAGCTTAAGCCCTAAGCTCTGAGTCTTCGGATGTTCCCCCTTATGCTAGCAGGCCTTGATCGGGATTCTAGTAGGGGGTACTACAATCCCTGTAAGGACCCCTAGTACAAGGGGAAATCACATCCCAACCTGAATCTTAAAGCCCTCAATCCTCAGCCCCGCTGAGCTGCGAGGTTGGTTCCGATGCCTGGCGAGACTGCAACTTGCCCTCCAAAGGCTCCATACCGGCTGATGGTACAGAGGTGGAGATGTACTGAGCTGACTTCACCTTCACATCACTATTCTTATGGACACTGCCGCTAAAACCCCCAAGACCTAGACCATACATCTTTGGCCCATGCCAGCCCCGGAACCGGTGAAGCACGAGCTTCCGGTTGTTTCTTAGGATACCCCAGCCAAAAACCCGCAGCAAAATCGGAACCCTAAGGGGACGATAAGTTAGCGCAACCCCTACATGCAGCCAACCTCTCTTCTTCTTTGGAAATTATGGGGTTCTGTGCCGGAGAGGCATCATGGCACCCGAAACACGAACTGCGAAACACGAAGGCGGCTTAAGCTGTAGGGTTGGGCTTGGCTCATGTACAGCAACTTCGGAGTTGTGGAGCTTGGGCAAGCCACCCTAAACCCTAAGCCCGAAGCCCTACACCCTAAGCCCTCAGCTCTAGGCCCTAAGCCACGCCTTAAGCCCGAAGCCCTAAGCCCTTAAGCCCTGAGCCACGCCCTAAGCCCTAAGCCCTAAGCCCGACGCCCTCAGCCCTAAACCCTAAACCCCTTCAGCTGCCTCGCCCAGGCATCTCCCAGGCAAGGCTCGAGCGCCTGCAGGCAGAAGGCGGGCCCCCCCCACCACATTTTTTTGTTTTAGGGTTTAGGGGTTGTTTTGGGGTTTAGGGTTTAGGGTTTAGGTTTTAGGGTTCGTGTAATATGGGGGTTTACGATGTAAGGGGGTACCATTTTGGGGATCCTCATTATAATGGGATCCTTTTTACTTGGGGGTCTATGTTAGGGGCCCCTTATGGGCTGCCCACGACTATTTTTGATTTTAGGGTTTAGGGTTTAGGGGGCCTGAATAATCAGAATAGGTTTTTTTTTGGGGGGGGGTTATTCTAGTAGAAGCACATAGGTACCACGATGGAACACCAACAGTAGCTCTTCCGACCCCTATCTTGGATCTAGGCTTTGGGCCTGTTGGGTTGTTTCATGTTAGCTTCTCGGCTTGAAGGTCTACAAGGCGTTGCTTCTAGGGTTCGGGTTCGAGTCTTGCTTTGGCTTGGGGTAACCCTAAAACCCTAAAACCCTAAAACCCTAAACCCTAAACCTACCCCTAAACCCTAAATCCTAAATCCTAAACCCTAAACCCTAAACCCGAAACCCTAAACCCTAAACCCGAAACCCCAAACCCCAAACCCCAACCCTTCAAGGTTGTCGCTCTGACTCCCCCCACCTTCAACCCTAAACCCTAAACCCCGATCCCTATGTTCCGAACTCCATCACAAACTCTTCTGAGTCCTGAATCCCCCAGAACCTAAACCCTAAACCCTAAACCCTAAACCCTAAACCCTAAACCCCGAACCCCGAATTTTTCTTGCAAGTAGCAGTCATGTTTAGGGTTTCTTTTGGGTTGAAAAAAGCCCTTAGTATGACATTGATGTGGTTGCTGTTTCAACGCTGTTAAGTCACAAGCTCCAGAGAGGCTTCTCCATCGAGCATACGCACGAGCCGAATCCGGAGTTCTACTGCGAGACGCTTGCTAGCATGCTGCCGCGGGTGGTTGTCAAAATCATGATCCTTTTGGGGTACCCTAAAAATTAGGGGCCGTGTTATAGTAGGGATCCAAAAAGGGACCATAATAATGACATCCACCCATGTTTTAGGCAAAGATGCTGCAGCCTGGCCCGCTTTGTGCCCATGAACCCTCGTGGGTAGTGGGTGGTGGGGTTAGGGACCCGGAACCTTACACCCTAAATCCTGGAATCACGGCTCCAGACATTCATCATATTTTCCACTGACACCTTTCTGGTTGCTGAGTTTTAAGATCTTGATGCCAAATGGCATCTTCCACAGCAGGGTAATGAAGGCTTGCCCACTCATCTATCGCACCTGGACAAGTTTAAGTTCGACTTTTGCGCGCGTCGAAACGTCATACTGGAATTGTCAACATGTGTGTGCGCGCCGCTGCATTGTTCAAGATGCCCACGGCTGCGATGACGCAAACGACATCGGAGCTGATGCGCCCTGGACCCCAAGCCCCCAAATCCTGAACCCTTCTGTGCTAACTTCCCAAAAGCCTTAAACCCTAAACCCTAAACCCTAGACCCTAAACCCTCAACCCTAAACCCTAAACTGAATTCTAAGTACCTCGAGTCACTCGTGAACCTTCAAGCAGCCAAGGAGCACGCCTCAGCGCTTCCTCCTGCAGCCTTGAAGGGCGGTCGGGACCGAAACTGGTAGGATTAGGATTAAACCCTAAACCCTAAACCCTCAACCCTCAACCCTCACCCTAAACCCTAAACCCTAAGCCCCAAACCCTCAACCCGGCAGCCGGGTCCCGGCTCAGGCTGATCCCAGTCTCCGTCAAGGAGAGATCCCTGTATGGGAAGCTTCCGCGGCAGACGGAGAAGAAAGGAGGCCGAAACCTCAGCAGCCCTGAGCCTCAGGAGCCCTGAGCCTCAAGAGCTCCTAATAGTAATATGAATAATAATAATAATAATAGTAATAATAAAATAATAATAGTAATAGTAATAGTAAAAATAATAAGAATCATAATGCCAACAATAGTAATAGTAGATTCCGAGCCCCGACGTCCGCAGCCCTACGTGTCAGTCACCTCGAGCTCCAAACCTTTCTGGTGCGATGCTGTGTGGTTCGTGCAAGCCCCTTAGAACCCTAAACCCTAAACCCTAAACCCTAAACCCTAAACCCTAAACCCTAAACCCTAAACCCTAAACCCTAAGCCTTAGAACCCTAAGCCCTATCCTTGGGTTCTTGCCTTCAAGGCCTGAAGTTGCTGAAAGGAGGGACCCTGTTTTGAATAGGTATTTTCGGGCAGCGTGTGCTATATACTGTCATAGGGGGGTGTAAGAGGTAAGTGTATAGGGCTCAAATAGTAGGCCTCCACATGTGATGCCGCAGATTTGGGACTTGGCTCGCCAGGGGCAGCGAAGAATGACATTGCATGCCAGCAAACTGGACTGGTGCTACAAAACCCTGAACCCTAAACCCTTATTCCTGAGGCCTTTCGAGGTTTCTTTGCTTACCATGCCCATTCGGAGCCGAAACGTCACTAAGTTGGCCCCCTGCAACTGGACGCTGCGTTTCAGGGCTTTCCGTGTGGCGCAAAGCTCAAAAAGCTCAAACCCCAAGCCTTAGTCGAACCGCAAAGTGGATTGTTGTGTTGATGGTGGTGTAGGTTTTTCTCGGGAAAAAGGATAGTTTACATATTGGGTGTCCATTTTGAGATACAAAAAGCATGATAACATGAGTGCTGACCGGTAATCATGCACAAGAATGATGAGAATTCCTTCCTCTGAAATCAAGCCTCAAGCCCCCGCAGGAAATCCCTCCTTATAGAGCTGTTGGGATGGCTGTTGCTGAAGCCTTTGGGCTCATGTACACGCTGAAGCCCCAGACTCTTAGACCCTGGCACAAGCACCGATGCTGACAAACACCCGAGCCCGAATTGCCCAACAGCCCCCATAGCAAATGCTGGAGAATCCTTGAACACCCAACAAAAAATGTTCCCTCGGCCCGACGCATCCAGCCCTTAATACGGGCGATGTAGCGACAAAAACGGCTCGGAACATGGCTGGGAGTTAGAGTTTAGGGGTTGAGGAGACTTCTTGCAAAAGCCCCGATTACCACATCCTTGCATAGAGTTTCGATCTTGCTGCTGCTCCATGGCCGCTGCTTCTTCCGTGGAGGAGGGTGCAGGCCCCTGGGCATACATTGCACCCTCAGTCCAGTCCTCCTACGCAACTCGCTGTTCAAGGTTTACCCTGAACCCTATCAGGGTGTAGGGATGAGGACTCGACTGAGGGTGCAATGGGGGACCCGAAGCCTCAACCCCAAAGGGCTTTAAGCCGGCCTGTGGGTTTAGGGAAACAGGGTGTTTGAGGGCTGGGGTTTCGGGCGGGGGGGGGGGTTGGGGGGGGTTTTGGGGGTTTCGAGACCTTTCTTTCGGCATTGAGGGGTGCAGGGTTGAGGCCGTGCCCGGCCTGTTTAGGGCTACGGCTTAGTGTGAGTGGGTGGTTCCTCTAGTCTTTGCTGACCTTTGAGAGTCAGAAACTGTTTTCTCCTGTTGTTGATCACCCAGGAGGTGCTGTTTGGACCAAGAACCCTAAACCCTAAACCCTAAACCCTAAACCCTGAACCCTAAACCCTAAGCCCTAAGCCCTAAGCCCTAAACCCTAAACCCTAAACCCTAAGCCCTAAACCCTAAGCCCTAAGCCCTAAACCCTAAACCCTAAACCCTAAACCCTAAACCCTAAACCCCATGCCAGGTAGAGATGCGGAAGCCTCCTTGAAAAGCATCCTGGAAGACGTGCACCGCAAGATGCCCCTGGGCGCGTGGCATGCGCTTTAGGGTTCAGGCTTTGGTTTAGGGTTGAGGGTTTGCAGGATTTAGGGTTGAGGGTTTGTAGGGTTTTGGGTTGCTTAGGTAGCTCCCCAAAAAACCAAATTGTTGTGGTTTAGTAGGGTCCGGGAGGCTTGCGGGTTTTGGCAGCGGCCCAAGCAAGGCAGTTCCTCTGCGAGGAGCTCTCGCTAGGCCGTGGTCCAGCCGAGGCAGGGTCCAGACCTACGCAGATTCTTGGGGGCGTTAGCGGACGATCTTCTGAAATTCTGCGCCGTGCTTAGGGGGGTTTCGAGAGGCCGCCCAAAAGAGACAAAAACCCTAAACCCCAAACCCCCAAACCCTAAACCCCAAACCCCCCTGAGCCCTAACCCCCCCCCCCCCCCCCGTTTTCCTGCGCTGCAACCCCGGAGGCCGAGGAACCTGCCCGCGCCATCCTCCGGAGCTTTTCGACGCTCCGCAGCTGGGCCGCAGGGGGGGGAGGAGGGGGGGGGGGGCGTGGGGTTTCGGGTTTCTGGTTTGGGATTTATGGGTTTTGAGGGTTGCAGGGAAAATGCCAATAAGTGCCCACTTCCCTGCGTCCCTAAGCCCTTTGGGCCTCTGCACCCATGAACCTCTTATCGCCTAAGGCCCCAAACCCTCCTCCTGCACGCCGAAACTCTGGCAGAAGTGCCCATTTGGGCTTGAACTTCAGTGTTGCCAGTGAGCCCCATACCCCCAAATTCACGGCAGGATGCCACTGATTTTGCGTTATATGCCTCCTCCATGAAGGGGTATTTGGGCTTTCGGGGCACCTTCCAAGAAGTGGTACCCACAGCACGTGCGGGCGCAGCGCTTCGTGTGTCGTTTGCTGGGTGGTGGAGGTGGACGAAGGCGGGAGGGAGAGGGATCAAAAATGGACACGGGTTCGGGTCCAGAGGGTCGAATGAAGATATATGTATAGGATGCTTTTTGTTGGTTTCGGGGAGGCTTTCGGCTTATGTGGATTGGTTTTCTTACCCCCCACCCCACCTCGAACCACTCAATTGTTTCACTTTAAACGCTGGGTTCGAGTCACAATAGCTTTGCAGACAGTCTCAGATATAGAAAACATTCTCGAGACACCCAGACAGTTTCGAAACACATGTGGATATGAATATGTGAAGGCAACTCTCTCAAGCTTCTCCCTCACATCAAATCTCATTGCAGTCGAGATACAAACGAAGCCGCGACGTCCATATAGGAAACCAACTCACCAGTTCACCAGTTCACCAATTCACCAATGCTTTCCCCCTGGTGGGGGGGGGCAAGAATTCATGAATTGGTGAACAGGTGAACTGGTGAACTTGCAGGTAGACTTCGACACACTCTGCCTAGAACCCTAAACTCCAAACCCATACAAAGATTGTTGCAGGCAATTTTCTTCGAGAAAGGCCCAAACCGGTGTCGATTGGCCGAGGGCTTCTTAACCCTGAGCTCGGAGCCCTTGCACCGAACTGAGGTACTGTCAGCCAGGCTAGCTCGGAGCCGACGCTGGTACTACACTGGCATGGAGTTCTTAGGGCTTAAGGGTGGTGGATGTCCTGGGTTGGCTACGCCTTCATGGGGTGCTAGGAAGGGAAAGGATGGAGGTTCATGAGCTTTGGGCTTCATCTTGTGTAGAGAGAGAGGGGGAGTGAACGAAGCTTTCGAGAGCTCTACTATTCCTGAGGCCCTCATGCCTGGCGAAGCTAAGGCTTAAGACCCTGCATGTCAAGCCACGAGGGGCCTCAAACCCTGCCTGAGCCTAAACCCTGAACCCCAAATACCGAAACCCCAACCCGGAAACTCTCTCACTCACGGTCACTCTCTGTTTTTCTCTATCCTCTCTCTCCTCTCTCTCTCTCTCCCTCTCTCCCACTCTCGCTCTCGCTCTCTCTCTATCTCTCCTCTCTCTCTCTCTGTCACTCTCTCTCTCTCTCTCTCTCTCTCTCTCTCTCTCTCTCTCTCTCTGCGTCCCCGCCTCCCAAAACCCCCAAAAGCCAAAGCAAAAGATCCGAGGAACTCGGCTCGCACTGTGGACTGCAACGGCCGGCATCGATCTGGCCTCCTCTCCATGGGAGCCTTCCGGGTTTTTCGGTTCGGGGGAAAGCTTCCTGCCCCCCAACCGAGGTCTCCAAGCCCTAAGCCGTAAACTTGCTTTTGGGTCTCACGTGTTTGGGAGCGCATTGTGGCGTAGTTGTCCGGTAAGCATGAAGTAGTGGACGTGCGTGAGTCGTTGAGGAGACCTCAACCGGGGTCCAAAGGAGCACATTCACTGTGATTCACAGGCACCACTCTAAGCCCAGGCCCTAAACCCGATGTCTAGAGAACTGACTGCATGCCGTCTTGATCTTCGGCCTCTTCACGCTAAGCCCTACACCCCAAACTCCGACCGCAACCCTACAAGAAAACCCCATGAGGAGCTCTCAGTGCCTTTGGAGAGTCGGAAGGCCTTCGAGAGAGTTGTTTAGGATTTTGGGTTTCGGGCTTAGGGCTTGGGGGTGCAGGGCTCAGGGTTTTTGGACTTTCGGGTCTAGGGTTCGGGGTGTGGAGTTGAGGATTTGGGGTTAGAGTGTTTGGGGGGTTTGAGGATTTGCTGCAGGAAGAACCTTCTGTTGTAGAGCAATTGAGCGCGTTGTGTTTTCAGTTGGCTGCCAAGGCTGATTGACAAGGTCTTTCGTCTCATTCTGCTGCGAGCCTACCACCCTTCCGCACCCTAAACCCTAAACCCTAAACCCTAAACCCTAAACCCTAAACCCTAAACCCTAAACCCTAAACCCTAAACCCCAAACCCTAAACCCTAAACCCTAAACCCTAAACCCTATAACCCCTAAACCCTCTTGGGCTCTTGGCCTGAACTTGTGTTGAACGCCAAGTCAAAAGCGCCCTTTCCAGCTCTCTGAGCTTCGATCGTAGCTATCCCCCCTGCTCGCAACTCCCCAACATCCTAGCCCCCATGAAAGCCTTTCATCTTGCGATGTTCCCTCTCTTCTGCTCGCAGTCCTTAGCAGGGATTGTAGTAGCCCCCTACTATCATCCCTATAAAGGACTGTTAGTAGAAGGAGGGAAACATCCAAACTTTCATCCCTGCGGCCCCTGAAGCACCCCGAATGCAACGACATGCAGCAGGACGTTCCCTTCCGGCCCGCTCGAGAATCCACTCTGAGCATGAGAAGGACTCCGGGTTTCTGGCTCTGAGGGCTTTGGAGTTCAGAGGTTAAGGGTTTATGGGTTTTGGAGGTTCAGGGGCTTTAGGGCTTCTGGGTGGTGTCTTGGGCCGTCTGAGGGCGTTCCTCTACCTGAACGCAACCAAAAGCCTGAGCCCCAAGCCCTGAAGCCCCGAAGCCCCCGAACCCCTGGGGGCCCCAAGCCCCGAAATCAGAAGTGCGTAAAGCTCCGAAGGGCTTAGGGTTTAGGGTTTAGGATGGTTTAGGATGGTTTAGGGCTTAGGGCTTAGGGTTTAGGGTTTAGGGTTTAGGGCCCTAAAGCCTCAAAGCTTCAAATCCCAAAACAAATACTCAAAGCTCCTGTGGCGTCGGTCGCTCCCATACCCGCCTGTAACTTCCCCTTTTGTAGTTTAAGGAGAAGGTTTCCTAGTCGAGGGATATGGGTATAAGTCTTGGTGTACTTTGAGGGTCCCCCAAAATACTTGCATCCCTATGAAAGGATCCCCCACCCACCCCGCCCCAAAAAAAAAACGAAAAAGGGGTACCCCCACTTCCGGAACCCGCCCCATATGTGAGGGCCTCAGTCTCAATAGCCTCATAAAGCTTTTGTCGCTTTTGTTGCTTCAGATTTCCCGGGCACTCTTTGACATCGACCATGGCGACCCCTTGGCGGCCAGGCGGTTTGGGGGCCTTTGGGTTTAGGGCGTAGAGCTTGTTTTGGGGTGGGGGGGGGGTCGGGTTTCAAGGTTGAGGTGTCAGGACAAAGGAGCCCCGAATGCAAGGATACGGGCCCCTTTTGCAGGTCTCACTGCAGCCTATACTGCTTAGATACTTTAGGCCGGCAGAAGCAGATCGACCGTATCCTTAAGAACCCCCATACCTTGGGGAGGTCTTCGTCCGAGGAGCTTCATGAAACCTAACACACGAAACACCAAAGCCTAAACTTTAAATCCTAAACCCAAACTAGGGGGACTTCTTTTCTAAGAGACATGCCGGAAATGTGAAAGCGCGAGAGGCCAAATGGTTAATAACCAGCTTGTGGGGCGTTCTTTTGCCGAGCGGGGCCCTCTGGGAAAGTGTCCCACTAGTTTGTGGTTTTGCCTGCGCCCAAAATAAGCGGTCTATGCAAGGAATTGCGCACACACACATGAAAAGCCACATGAAGCCCCAAGAGAGTTGTTCAGCGAAGAGGCTTGAAATACAACTATGCGCTGTCACATGGTCCCGCTTTGCGCCGGGAGGGGCTTCGTGTCAGCAGATTGACACAAGCAGGGGCTTCCGACGAAGCCGTAGGCAATGGTTTCACACTGAGGTTTTAAGATGACATGCGAACGAGTAGTCAGACCTGTGACTTGCTCAGCGCTGTCGAGACAGGCAGAGAGAGAGATAAAGTCCAGGTCTGTAGCTCCCCACAAGATCACACTTGCATCACACCTGACCGGTCGGTTGCGCGTGCCCCTTGGGGCGGCCCCTTTGAGGGTCATACGCACAGCAAGCAAGCAAGAGAGATGAAGAGAGAGAGAGAGCGAGAGACAGAGATTTCGGCCTAGGACCTCAAGAAAAGCCCTTTGCCAGGGTGGCCCACCTGGAGCAAACCTTGGTGCGTGAGGAGCCACTCCTCCAACGCTTTCACTCGGACCCTCGGCGGGGGAGGGGGGGAATGAGGGTTGGGTTCGGGGTTTAGCCAGGGCGCAGGAAGAGGAATGAGGAGGTTCCAGTTCTACGAGGGCTGCCCAGAAACACATATTCCAGACTTTTTGCCAAAAGGGGGAGTGTTGTTGCAAATTAGGGCTTGCTAGGGCGGTCCATATCGAAAGGGATCCTGGCAGGTCAAGTGCCTATAACAGGAACTCTGATTGGAACCAGCTCCCATCTCATACGTGTCCTGTCATATCATATCACAGTACACTTTTTGCAGAGAGCTTGGAGCAGCTAGATTTTCTTGCGCCCTCTCAAGCGTGGACCCTAAACATTTAGTGCCGAAACCCCAGACGCCTGCAGCCCTCAACCCGAGGGCCTCTGAGGCCCGGACACCCAACAACAACGGTCCGAAACCCTAACACTTCTTAAGCTCCCTAGATCCTCTAAGCCCCTTAACCCCCCTGAACCTACCCCAATGTCTACCCCTCATGATTCTCTTATTATGGTTAGTATTACTCAACTCAACTCAAACAGAGTCTGCTACGACGGAGCGAGAGGTTGCCGTTAGCACCTCCCTCATCCTAAAACTCCAGGCGCTGCGCGCCCTTGTACCTGATTCGGCACAACTGGGCTCGGGCTCCCACGATGCAACCACGCACCATGCCAGCATCGGCACACAATACGTGGCACACCAGAAGCAGCCACACAGAGCTCACTACCAAAATCAGCCTATGCTTTGAGCGACATGCAGAGTGTACGTCATGCCTACTTTGCTGTCATCTCGGTCAGCTTGTCGACCAAAGACTGCAGCTCCCGAGCCATTCCGCTTGCCGGTGCCTGTCCCTTCTTCTCAACCGCACCAGTCGCAACCTTGGCAAACCGCTTCAAGCAAGTCATGATGGGATGGGCTGACGGCAGGGAACAGCTTGAACTCGCCCCGATTGAAGGCTTTCTTCATCTTTGCAATGTAGACAATGTCGGCGATTTTATCTGGCGATGTCATTGCAGCTCGATGAGCAACGATGGTCTCCTTAAGGGCATCGAGAGAGACTTGCTGTGTAGCAATGCCAGTAACGGCAGCCCAAGCGTATGCATGGAGTTCTCCGTCAGGCATGCTTCCACCAGATGTGCGCGCAAGCTTCGATTTTTCCACAAAAGATCCAACTTCACCCTTCACAGCAGCGATGAGCAGGTTTTGTTCCTTGAGCATGAAGGTCTTGAAGACAGCGCTTTGAAGCTCTCTGACTTCAAGCTCCTGACGTAGCGTCATCTTCGGCACCAGCAACACGGCTTTCTGGATGAGCCGCTCATCTTCCCGCGGCGAGAGTGCCGCATCTTGGCAGGGGGGCCATGCTGACTCCGTTCCTCCTGCCTTTTGGCGCTCCAGCCCTCCATGCTTCTGTTCGGGAAGAGCTTATGGGAAGTGGGACTTGATGTGTGTGAAAAGCTGCGGTAAACCATCAGAATCATGTCCGAAACTTGCATATGAAGTCAGCAGGAGGGGTGGGAGCCGTAACCACAACACTACCACAACGACTGCCAGAAGGACAGGAACCTGCGTCCAATCGGCGTTTGATGTGTTTACGCGTGGAGACGATGGACGCATGTACCATGAGACACCATGGGCATTGGTTGACATGAGCCGCCTTGCAGTAGTCAGACACAATGTTATGGTTGCTAAGACCGCTCTTGTACTGGTGCAAGCGTAAATCCCGGAGACTTGCAAACCGCTGCCCGCATGGAATCCCGCTCTCCAATGCAATGGAACACACATGAGGCAAATCATCCATTTCCAGAGGCTCCTCAGCATGATGTTGTCTTGGCGCTGGTGAGAAACCTGGCGGTGGAATCTGGACAGAGAGCTCCTGTGCCCGAAGCTCGGTAACATCCACATGGGCAAAATCCGTAGCCAGCTCTGTGAAAAAGGCCATGATGTCATTGCCGGCAAGTTCAACAATCCAATGAGCCGAGTCCAGCCCAGCCAAAGATTGCAAGTCCTTCCAGTACAGCCTGGCGTAGGAGTTGGCCCTTGGACTGAGGCCCACTTCAGCATCCACAGTAGGTTCAGAATCGAAATCCATGGTGCCAAAAATAGCAGTGATGACATGATGGTGCCGAAATGGGTCTGTAGCGAGCCGCTGGAGAAACTTAAGACGACGAATGCGAAGTTCTGTGCTGGTGCAGGCGACGCCAAGGTGCCGGAAAACGTCGGTGTTGGGCATGCTCCGATATTTGATATTGCCATCTGCTTGTGCAATTTTTTCACACGCAGTACCACGGAGAAGACGGCGACCATATGCGGCAACAATGCGGTCAAGCTTGGCATAATGCCCGCTTCCTAACACAAGAGCTTCCAAGCCACTGAAAAGAACCTCATAGACCATGCCCATGAAGACAGTTCGCAGTCCGCGCCATGGAAGCTCACGTCTGTGCCACAGACCCTTAAAAGCACACCAAGCAGCGTACGCGGCGTTGGCACGTTTGTCAACTTCGGGTCCACATGGTTAGTATTACGACCATGATTACTATTACTACTCTGACAATGTTTTGTTTTGGCGTTTGTCAAAAATGTGCTTCTCAAGCCTGTGGCCTCAACCCCGAAGTTGTTTTTTTTTTAGGAGCTCCGTGCCAACTTTGCGGCCGAGCTCGAGGTGTGGAGATGGGTTTAGGGTTTAGGGTTTCGGGGTTTAGGGTTTGGGGTTTCGGGGTTTAGGGGCTTTCGGGGAGCATGCTTTTTTGGGGGGCGGGCCTGAGGAAACCTGTCCGTTCCGCGACTCAAGTGCTGAAACTTGGCAAGCCCCAAAGTCCCAAACCTACCCCTGAACCAACCCTCAATCCCCAAACCCGGAAACCCTCAACCCCCAAACCCCTAAACCCCTAAACCCCTAAACCCCTAAACCCCTAAACCCCTAAACCCCTAAACCCCTAAACCCCTAAACCCCTAAACCCCTGAACCCCTGAACCCCTGAACCCCTGAAACCCCTGAACCCCTGAAACCCGACACCCTCCCTAAACCCTAAATCCCTAAACCCCTAAACCGCTGAAACCCCTGAACCCCCTGAAGCCCGAAACTCCAAACAGACCCCTAAACCCCTGAAGCCCTAAACCGCTGAAACCCCTGAAGCCCGAAACCCCTGAAAAACTCCTTCGATGCTATCCGGCTTCTTCCTTTGTGGTACTTTACTGTAACTTTAGATCCTTACCCTTTTTGGGTTAATTGGGTTTCTTAAAACGGCAGCTAAAAGTTTAATTTCTAGCTACCCTCCTGAGTGCAGCCAAGCTTCCTTCTACGAGGCTGTGCGCCTGCAGCTCCTCGAGGAGTTCCGGGAGCAGGTTCAGGCCAGGGCTTAGGGCTTAGGGCTTTTGGGGCTTAGGGTTTAGGGGTTCCAGGGGTTTAGGGTTGCAAGGGTTTAGGGTTCCAGGGGTTTCGGGTTTAGAGGTTTGGGGTTTAGGGTTTAGGGTTTAGAGTTTAGGGTTCAGGGGTTTAGGATTTGGGGATTTAGGGTGTAGGGGCTTAGGGTCTGGGGGTTTAGGGGTTTAGGGGTTAGGGGTTAGGGGTTAGGGGTTAGGGGTTTGGGAGTTTAGGGGTTTGGGGGTTTGGGGGTCAGGGCTTAGGGTTGAGGGTTTAGCGGCCTAGGGGTTTAGGGGTTTGGGGGATTAGGGTTTAGGAAATTCAGCAAGATTGATTTCGTTGCAAATCCCGAGCCCCGAGTCCCCGGAACGTCCTCACAGAGGGGAGTGCAGGCGGTGGGAGAGGGTTGGTTGAGATTCTTACAATCAGCCCCACACGCGAAAGTCCAAAAATCATGAATCCCTCACAACCCCAAAGCCTGAAGCCCTCGAGCTCCACAACTCTGTTTGCAGTCATCCTATTCCCCAAAGGGGAAAGCACAAGCTCTTTGCATTTGGGCCCTCTTCGCAGAAACCCTCAAACCTGTTAGTTGGTGGAATATGGCAAATTGCTAAGCACAACAAGTGAAAATTTTTTAAAGCATTGACCAAAAAAAGGGTAAAAGAATGACCCGAAAATCGGGAAGTTGTTCCAGTTTCTTCAGAACATTGTCAGAACTTCAAAGTACTTTTTTTTATTCGTACATCAAAAAGTGGTTAAAACTTGACAAATGTCAATGATTTTGGTAACCTAAACCCTAAGCCCTAACCCCTAAACCCTAAACCCTATATAAACCCTAAAGCCCTAACCCCCAAAAGCCTAAAACCGTAACCCCAAAAGCCTCAGGCCCTGAACCCCTAAACCCTAAACAACCCTAAACAACCCTAAACAACCCTAAACAACCCTAAACAACCCTAAACAACCCTAAACCCTAAAGCCCAAGGTGCACAGGGTTGTAAAAAAAAACCTAAAGCCCCAAAGGTGCAGAAGCCCTAAGCCCTAAACCCTAAACCCTAAACCTTAAACCCTAAACCCTAAACCCTAAACCCTAAACCCTAAACCCCCGAAAACCTAAGGTGTCAATTCAGTGCTCGGCCAGGTGCAGAAGCAGCTCGCCATGGCCGAGCTGCAGCCGCTGCGTTGAACGTCCTTTGGGGGGGGGGGGGGTTTGTTTGGGGTTTCGGGTTGGGGGTTTCGGGTTTAGGGTTTAGGGCTAGGGTTTAGAGTTTAGGGTTTAGGGTTTAGGGTTTAGGGTTTAGGGTTTAGGGTTTAGGGTTTAGGGTTTAGGGTGGTTTAGGGACCCTAAACCTGAACCCTCAACCCCAAATGCCAATTGTTGGGGAGTCGGTTTGGCAGGGTTCAGGGGGGGTAGGTGGGAGGGTTTGTGGATTTCGCGGGTTGGGGGTTTCGGGTTTAGGGTTTAGGGCTAGGGTTTAGGGTTTAGGGTTTAGGGTTTAGGGTTTAAACAAAAAAGGGCTCTCCACAGTGGTCCTCAGCCCCAAAGGCCTCAGGGCCGTGGGGGTTTGGGGAGGTGGTTCAAGGCTTGGAACCTTGGGGTTTACAGCCGGGATTTTTGATGGGTTTGGGGTTTAGGGTTCAGGCTTTAGGGCATAGTTCGGGTTTGAAGGTTTGGCGGGCTTGCGGGCTGGGTGTATGGGTTCCAGTTTTGGGACCCTAAACCCTAAACCCTAAACCATAAACCCTAAGCCCTCCATCCTCTTAGAAACCACCGAAGTAAAGAGACCTGGGTTCGGGTTGGTGTTGTGAGCAACGTGGCAAGCTACAACATAGATCAGATAAGGACTTGAGCCACTCCATGTAGAGTACCCCTGTGCCCTTGCAACAAAAGGGGACATTTTGAGGCAAGTCCCTTCTTCCTTGTTTCTCAAAGGGAGTATAGGCTCCTTGAAGCACTTTGGCCAAGGTCAGCCAAGGAAGCGTTGCGCGAACGCGGCTTGGGGTGCAAAAGTGCCGGGTTAAGCCTTCAGGGGCTGGTCTGCGGGTAGATGCCCAGTTCTCCAAAGGATGGTCCCTGAAACAAAAAGGGGCGCTGTAGGGAACCCTACGGGTGAAGCTTCATGAACTCACCCTTCTGCTCTTGCGGATGGAATCTCGCGTTTTGGTTGAGGACTTCCACTGTTGGGTCAAGGGTCTGCGTTTAGGTCTGCGCCAGAGTTTTCCCCTTCAGCCACCAATCCACTACTCGAACCTCGCCTGCAGCAACCCTAAAACCTACACCCTAATCCCTAAACTCTAAACCCTAAGCCCTAGACCCTAAACCCTAAACCCTATCATTCTTCTTGCTCTCCTTCCTTTTGAGCCGGCGCTGCCGAGCTTGCTGTGTGATGGGTGGGACGTTTAGGGTTTAGGGTTTGGGGTTTAGGGTTCATGGGTACTCGTAGTTCAAAGTAGGGTTATGAGTATCCTAAGAAGCTTATAACTAGTGACAGTTCTCCTTGACCTTCTTATAACCCCACTTAGAACTACCCATGAACCTCCAAGTGCGAGAATAACCTACAACATCTCAAGCTTCAGTCATTGGCCTATGAATATCATTCGATTCAGTCATTGGCCTATGAATATCATTAGTTATCAATGTTTTCCCACTTTTTTTGTATATACATATTTTTCATATGTATGCATACATATATATATATGTATATAATGTATGTGGGCTGCATATATATATATATATATATATATGTGTAGATTGAGACACACACACAAGAAACTTTTGGAGGGGGTCGGTTTGGGGGTTTTCCTGCTGAGCACCCTCATCCCCACCACAAAAGCTTTTTCCTGAGGCTTCACCAGCCTTCCGTCCCACCGATCTTCGGAGCGCTTCCGCATTTGCTGGGAGGCGCGCTTTGGGCGCGCTTTGTGGCAGTTGTTGTCATGATCATTGGGGTCTAAGGTTTAGGGTTTAGGGTTTAGGGTTTGTTGGTTATGAAAGTCATTAAGAAGTACTGATACCTTCAGCCTTCAACCCCAAACAGTGCTAGATATCATCAACTGTTTTCGTCTCGCTCAAAAAAAGCCAATTTGATATTAATGGAATGCATTCTTATCGTCCTTAGACTTTAGTATTAGATTCGCAGGGCCTTTTCTGGGTTCTTACATGCCCAGAATGACAAAGCCACCTGAAACAAGACCTGGTTTTTCCCTACACATATGTCATCAAAGGAACCTTTGTTCCCTTGGAAGATGGGAGAGACGTTCAGGGTCGTCATTATGTTTCGGCCATATGTGGTGCACAGAAGCATATGTGGGAATCTCTTTCGTTTGCTCTTCTGAGAGTCTTGGCTGTTTTTGCCCAAATATCCGTCACTTTCTCATGTTTCTCATGCAACGATCCTTGAGCTGCATGATCATTGTATTTCCCAAAACGCCAAATGTTGACACATCCTGAGGCATGTATTTATGTTTTCTTTCTGTGCTGGGTTTGTTTGTCTACAGGTATTTCTCAATTCATCCCTCTCCAACTTCTTAATCTCTCCTTCTTGCTCCCTCCATCCTAACCCTAAACCCTAAACCCTAAAGCCTAAACCACAAAACCCTAAACCCTAAATCCTAAATCTTAAACCCTAAACCCTAAACCCTAAACAGAGCTCCTCCCCTCTTGCTGCTGGCCCGCGCTGCCGCGCCCTTGCGCCTCTGGGCAGGAGGCCTCCAGAGGCGCCGCGCAAGGCGACCTGGCCATGGAGAGACTTGAGGCCAGGCTTGACCCTACAGCCCCCAAACCTTCAAGACCCTAAACCCCCGAAACTCCCAAACCCTCAAACTCCTAAACCCTAAGCTCCTAAACCCTAAGCTCCTAAACCTTAAGCTCCTAAACTCCTATAAATTCTCAAACTATGGTTTACGGTGCATGGTGAAGGGGTGGGATTTTGGGATGACTGGGAGTCTTGGGCTCAAAATTGCTGCGGGTAGGGTTTAAGGGTTTGGCAAATTCAGGGTTTAGGGTTTAGGGTTTCGGATTTTGGGGTTAGTATAACCTGC